ACCAAGTTGGCTGCTGCCTCAGGAAGCTATTGCCTCAACTCCAGGCATAAAAGGATTTTGGTGTGAGGTTTGGTTGTTTGTCTGGTGGAGCCCTTCCTCTGCCAGGACAGTGTTAGCTCCTGGTGATTTTTAAGTCCTGGGGAAAGGCAGATTTCTGCTTGTCAGTCATATGATACATAGACAGGCTCCTAAAACTCTGTGTGAGCCTCAGTCACTTCATCTGAGAAATGGGAGGAATAAAACCCAAACTTACGGAAAATCAGAGGTGATGGGGGAAGTGGGTCTTCTTGGTGTCACTGTTTGCCCCTGGTCAGGGCATGGTTTGTGGTGGTCAGTCCCAGGCAGCCTGGGACAGGGTACTGGGTATCATTTTCGGAGAGAGGTTGTTTGGGTTGCAAACAGAAAAGGGGAAGATGTGCTCCAAGTTCTGAAAGTTTCTGTTGTGATTCAGTGCTGTTAAGTCAGTTTCAACTCATAGTGACCCTGTGTGGGATATCCAAGGAGTGGCTGGTGGGTTTGAACAGCCGAACCTGTGGTGAGCAGTCCAATGTATAGTCTACAGTACCATACTTACCAGGACACCTAGCAGTGGTAGAATGGTTCGCAAATGCCAGCGTGCTAGGTCTGACCCAGGGAAGTGGGTTCGGCCAGTTGGCTTGTCCCATGGTATAGCACTAACTATCTCTGTCTAACCACCGAGACCCGTGCCTGGCCTCCTTACATGCATCCTTCCATACGGGTAATCAGAAACACACTCCTGTTCATCCGTTTCCTTCCTGACCTGACACTACCTCTGGACCATGCACCGCACTGGGCTCCACAAGCAATAAACGGATTCTGTTGGCCTTATGTTTCTGATTGGAATCTCCAGGTTCAAACGTAGAGCCACCAAGATCAGGGCTCTGTCCCTTCTCCGGCTTTGTCCAGTCAGGCCCAGTAGTTCTTTGGACATACCCACCAGCTAAAGATCTTGATTGTCTCCACCAAGGCAGGTCTGGATGTCCCAGGCGTGTGGACAAACCACTCCTCTCCTTCACTCTTCTCATCCAATGTGGAGGTTGGACTAACCTCCATGGTTCTTCCACCCAAAGCTATACAAATACTTGATGGAACCTTCTAGAAATAGTCTAAAAGCTGAGGAATGGAGAAGTCCCGTTAACATTCAGAATAAAGGCGGTGTGTAATGTCTTTAAGTTCACCTTTCATACTTGGTATTTTGTTTATTAATTGTTGTTGGAAGTTGCTGTCCAGTCAGTGCCGTCTCATTGTGATCCTGTTTAGGGTTTCCAAGGCTGTTTTTGCAGGAGCAGAAAGTCTCATGTTTCTCCCACAGAGCAGCTGGTGGATTTGAACTACTGACCTTGTGGTTCACAGTCCAGTGTTTATCCTACAGAGCCACTGTGCTCCCTGATTTATTAATACTCGGGAAATCTGTTTTGTTTTAGAATAGACAAGTGCTAAGGATAATAAACACCCATCAGTTAAAGCGAAAAGACGTTGGCCTCTGTTCCTATAGCTCTGTCATAAATCAGTTCTGACGTTAAATCGAGTGCCTCTCTTGTTTTTTCGTATTTTCATTATTATTACCTTTTATTATCAGTATCCATACAAATCCTATTGCTTATTTTTGGTGATTGTAAACATTACATCTAAACTTACAAGCATGATGACATCAGCAAATTACACACTGCGACACTGTATGGAGCACATACTACTAACAATACGATTTATGTTGTTGTTGTTAAGTGCCGTCGAGTCAGTTCTGACTCATAGCAACCCTGTATAAGTGTTTACAAGGAGAAGCTAGTGAGCTTGAACTACCGACCTTGCAGTTCAAACCAACCTTGCAGTCCAGCGCATTTACCTACAGCACCACACCAGGACTCCTACAATAAGATGTATGTGTATATATATGTTGTTGTTGTTGTTGTCAAGTGCCACCAAGTCGCTTCCGACCTATGATGATCCTGTATAGGGTTTCCAAGGAGCAGCTGGTAAGCTTGAACCACCAACCTTGTGGTTCAAGCTGATTTTGCAGTCCAGCGCATCTGGTAGTGTAGTGGTTACGAACTGGGCTGCGAACCACAAGATCAGCAGTTCGAAAATATCAGCTGCTCCGTGGGAGAAAGATGAGGCGTTCTGCTCCCGTCAAGATTTACAGCCTCGGAAACCCTGTGCAGGGCCCCTATGAGTCAGAACTGACTCCATGGCATACAGCCATAATAGTGTAGTGGTTACGAATCGGGCTACAAACCTCAAGGTCAGCAGTTCAAAACTACCAGCTGTTCTGTGGGAGAAAGAGGAGGTTTTCTGCTCCCATAAAGATTTACAGCCTCAGAAACCCTGTACAGGGTCGCTATGAGTCAGAACTGACTCCATGGCATACCACCACCATATATATATATACACACACACATATATAAGGAGCTCTGGTAGCATGGTTGTTACGAGTTGGGCTGCTAACCTCAAGGTCAGCAGTTCAAAACTACCAGCCATTCCATGGTAGAAAGATGAGGCTTTCTGCTCCTGTAAAGATTTATAGCCTTGGAAATTCTATGCAGGGTCGTTATGAGTCAGACATGGCACATAACCACCACCCCAAATCCTTCCTGAAGTCCTCCAAATCTTTCTTTTCCCTACCCCAGAGTCAACGACACCCTGAAGTTAGTCTGTGTATGTACACTCTTGGTTTTTATCCTTTCATTATAAACAAAATCCAAACCCACTGCCACCAAGTTAGTTTCTACCTTGTGTAGGGTTTTGGAAACTGTAAATCTTTATAGAAGCCGAAATCCCCATCCGTCTTTCTCTGAGCAGCTGGTGGGTTTGAACTGCTGACCATTTGGTTAACAGTCCAGAGCTTGTTTTATAGATCCACCAGTAATCCTTTACTGTACAAGGGGGCTTCAGAAGGTATGTGGACAAAGGGAATGAAAAGATAATGGAATTTTTCCATGCATTTTTTTGAAGCCTTCTTATACCAATGCGTGTATCTGTATTGTATACATATCTAGCCATAAACTGCAGAGTATAGACTAGACAGTGTGAAATTTACATGAAATTTACATACATCAAGAATGGTTCCCAGGGGATGCAGCTGAGCATTTGCATACCAACCAAAGGTCTCCAGGGGAGGAAAACTTGGAGATCTGCTTCCATAAAAATGATGACCGGAAACCCTGAAGGACAGTCCTTCCCTGCCACAGGGGGTTGCTGTGAATTGAAAACAATCAACAGTAACAATCTTATTAGAATATATTCTAGGATTTGGTTTTTAAGCTCAAATTAAAGCTGTATTTGGGATCTGTTTATGCCCACATGTGTATCTGTTCATTCCTTTTGCCTGCTGTATGATAGTCCACCACAAACAATCCAGTTACCTTCCCCCACTCCATCTGATGACCTTGTGCCCATCAGCGATTTCACCCAACTTTCTCTCTAGGTGGACCCAGTAGAGTCGTCCAAGTAAGTCATGTTTCCTGCTGGTGGAGTGCGCTGCCCCCACACTGTGTAAGTGTAGAATGACGCAGGGTGGACCCCTGACTCACTTCATAGCGCAAATCGCAGTCCAGCGTCAGCATCTTTGGTCATCTCTGCTTTGATCTGGCCTTCACTGCTGAAATATTCTCAAATATGGTGGTGTGACAAACCCAGAACAGGAACTGAGGGCCCAGAGGAGTTCTGGTTGGATTCCCAGTGGGCCAGTGAGCTTACAGAAGGCCTGGCCCCGTGCCTGGGGGGCTCTGGTCCTAGGGGACCATCTTTAGAGGCCTCCAAGGCTGGTCTGCCAGAGAGAGCCACGCCTTCTCTCTGCTCTGGGCAGAGACTATTTTTATCTCAAAGGCAGTCTTGGTCAGGACACTGCACAGTTGCCAGGGGGGGTTGGAGATGAGAATGGGAGCTTTCCCAGAGCTTCCTGACTCCCTCCTCCACCACCCAGCCCAGTGCCAGCTTCTCTTCTGGCTGCCCGCCCCCCCACCTCTTCATATGTGAGAAGGGGGTATACAAGCCCTTGGTACTTTATCCCTCTAAACACTGCTGTTTTCTTTAAGGATCAAACCAGATAGTGAAGATTACCCCTCGGAACATAAGACTGGGTTTTGGGAAACAGGGTTGTTATTGGTAGCTGCCGTCGAGTCAGCGCCGATTCATGGTGAACCTGTACACAATGAAGCAAAACACTGCCTTGTGTTGCTGCACCATCCTTGTGATGAGTTGTGGATCGGACCTATGTGATCCATGTCTTTCACTGGCTGGTTTCATAAGTTGGTTGCCAGGTCTTTCTTCCTAGTCTTTCTTAGTCTGGAAGCTCCATTGAAGCCAGTTTGCTCCAGATCATAGTAACACATAAGCCTCCACTGACAGGAGGTGGTAGTTGTACATGAGGTGCATTGGCTGGGAATCTAACCCAAGTCTCCCACATGGAAAGCAGGAATTCTATCTCACAACTATGATGTAGTATATGACAAAGGTCCGGGATTGATGGAACCTTGTTTTGTTCAATGACAGAAGAGCTACCTATCAATCACTTTCAGTGGTTGAGTCTTTATTTGAAGGGACCGGAAAGTTTGCTGTTAATGTTGGTTCAGGGTGAACGCTTGTCTTTTGGGGGTATGAGACAGAACCGAGTTCCTGCCGTAGTCCCACCTGAGTCCTGAATGAGTAGGATTGCTGACACAGACTTAGCAAATATGGTCACAGGAGAACTTGAGTCTGCCCAGACGTCTGCTGTGGAGTCAGGTAGCTTGCCCTCTGGAAATTCTTGGTTTGTATCCTAGCTCTACCACTTCCTGCCTGTGCTGGGATGATACTTAGCTTCTGTGAGCCTCAGGTCCACATCGGAAAAATGGGGAGAATAATGCATGCTCCCTTTGCTTTTCCAGCAACACTGTAGTTTGTCTAATACTTACTCGCCTTCTTCCAATGCCCCCTTTCCCTTTCAGAGCTCTCAAGCGTCCAGATCTGCCCCGTCACCCAGTTGCTGCCATTGGTATTGAGCCATGAGTGGAGTCTGGCGAGGTATCATCCCTGTGGGACTGGTGTGGCTGGTGTGTGGAGCCCAAGGGTTCCTGCTGCCGAATGCCACCCAGCTTGAAAAACTGCTGAGCAAATACCAGCAGGATGGGTCTCATGCCCGCGCCCGGAGGGCCATTCCCAGGGCAGACAAGGAGGAGATCCTCATGCTACACAACAAACTGCGGGGCCAGGTGTACCCCACGGCCTCCAACATGGAGTACATGGTGAGCCCCAGCCTCAACTGGCCGCTGTGTTGCTGTGTCCATGGTCTGTGGGCGAGTGGCAAGAAAGGGTCCCCAGGCTCTGTTTTGGACACTCTGCCAAGACCACGCCGCTGCAGCTCTCCATCCCAAGACTGTCTCCCTGCCAACCTCTTCCTCCTGGTCTTTGTAGTTCAGCCCTGACACCCTGCTAACAGGGCCCCCTCAGGCAGATCAAGGCTTTGGAGAATGGAGTCCTGGCCTTGCCTCCCTCTAACTATGACTTCAGCATTTCCTTCACCATTTGAGAACCTCAGCCTAAACCTAGGTTCCTGGTGTGATGCTATAGAATAAACACTGGGCTGCTAATCACAAGGTCAGCAGTTCAAACCCATGAGCCGCTTCTCGGAAACCCTATACAGCAGGGTTGGGAAATGTCCAACCTGTAGGCCATATGAAGCCCACGAAATCATTTGATCTAGTCCTGCCAAGTCAACCACACTTCAAGCTATCACATTACAACAGGCTAATCTTTAAATTGATCATTTTGTATACCCTGCGGATGATGTTATAAATATCTAATGGTCCTTGGCAGAAAAAAAGTCCCCCACCCCTGCTGTACAGGGTTGCTATGAGTTGGAACTGACTCAACTGCTCTTAGCAACAACACCCAGACCTACGTGGGAATCCCGGAGTGGTGTAAATAGTGAAAACACTTTGCTGCCAACTGAAAGGTTGGAGGTTCAAGTCTAGCCAGAAGCACCTCGGAAGAAAGGCCTGGTGAGCTACTGTGAAAAATTCAGCCACTGAAAACCCTATGGAGCATACATATGCTCCATTCACGTGCAGTTTCTGTGAGTCAGAATGAACTCTGCACAAACTGGTTTTTTGTTGCCTTGTGTATTTTTTCCTTTGTTCAGGGCATGGTGCTAATGCTGCACTAATGATCCTTGAGCAGGGTGAGAGGTGGGGAGGTTCTGGGAGGCCCAGCCAAGCCCGGCCACTTCCTGCAGCCCGCAGGGCAAGGATTCCTGTGTGTTCAGTTGACAACCTGGCACCATGCAGTTCTGTGCCCACTTGGCCACTTCCCACTGGCTAACGTGGGACCTCACCCACAGTGTGCACAGGTAGAAACTGGAGACCTACCTACAGGTCTATCTGGGGCACATACGAGGAGGTGTTGCTATGATTTTGTTTTTCTGGCTCTGCCTCTGCTTCTACGTCCCTGGTTCTGACCCAGTGCCTCTTCCTCCCCCCACATCCCTGGTCCTGACACAGTACCTCCTCCCCCCACCCAATTCCTGGTCCTCACCTGGTACCTCCCCATTTAACATCTCTGGTCCTCACCTAGTGCCTCCTCCTCCCCCAGCATCCCTGGACCTGACCCAGTGCATCCTTCCACTACATCTGTGGTCCTGACCCCGTGTTTCTTCCTCCCACATCCCTGGTCCTGACCCAGTGCCTCCTTCTCTCCCAGCATTCCTGGTCCTCACCTGGTATCTCCCCCTCTAACATCCCTGGTCCTCACCCAGTGCCTCCTCCCCCCACATCCCTGGTCCTCACCTGGTGCCTTCTCCTCCTCAGCATCCCTGGTCCTGAGCCAGTGCCTCCTCCTCCCCCAGCATCCCTGGACCTAACCCAGCTCTTCCTCCTTCCCTAGCATCCCTCGTCCTCACCTGATGCATTCTCCTTCCCTCAATCCCTGGTCCTGGCTCGGTGCTCCCTCCTCCCCTTGCAGTTCTGGTCCTGATCTGGTATTTTCTTCTCCCCCCACATCCCTGGTCCTCATCTGATTCTTTCTACTTCCTCTGCAGACCTGGGATGAGGAGCTGGAGAAGTCAGCCACAGCCTGGGCCCAGGAGTGCATATGGGAGCACGGGCCCACCAGTCTGCTAGTGTCCATCGGCCAGAACCTGGCTGTCCACTGGGGCAGGTAAGACCACCTGCTGTGTGCCTGGCTCAGTGCTGCCCACCCACTAAAAGGGACACCACCCACCATAGTCCCCTGTGACACCATGACTAGTGGATGGCTCTAAGAACAGAATTCAGCGCTCTGAGGTTCTGGATACCAGACCCCAAATGTAGGGTATCAGCAGGACCACTTTTTCTCTGTGGGCTCTGTGGGAAGGTGCTTCCTGGCCTCGTTCTGCATCTGAAGACAGCCCCTCATTGTGTGTCTTCCATTTTTCTAAGACACCACTAAGAAAGAACCAAGACCATTCTGACTCCAGTATGATCCCCTTTGACCCAACTGATCACAAGGAGAGTGTTCGTTTCCTCTCACATTGTCACATTCACAGGTATAGGTGTCAGCACGTCACTTTCCAGGATAGCATTCAGCCTGTAATACCACCCATCCCATTGACACATGGGGAAACTGAGGCTCAGGGTCCCTTATGAGTCAATAGCAGAACTGGCATTTTAGCTTATAACTTAAAAATCCACTGCAGTGGAGTTGATTCTGACTCACAACACCTAATGGACAGAGAAGAACTGTCCTATAGAGTTTCAAAGGCTACCATCTTTACAGAAGCAGATTGCCATCTCTTTCTTCCTCGGTGCAACAGGTGGGTTTGAACTGCCAACTTTTTGGTTAGCAGTTGTACTTTTAGCCACTGTGCCACCAGGCCTCCTTCGGGGACTTATAGAACTTGAGTTTTCCATTTTGACTCCTGTAGAGAAAACGTTGAGTCCTAGTGGCTGCTGCCAGGAAGTATGTGGTTGGGTCGGCTGGAAAGATGAGAACATTTCCTCTTCTAGCTTTGAGTCACTAGGGACACATATGGGTCCCCTCAGCTTGCCTCCTTGCCCAGCCAGACGGACTGCACAACTCCTTTGAGCTTCTGAGTCTTCCAGAGTGGCAGCTGCTCTGCCTCTCACCCATGCTGTGAGCTGCTAAATGTTGCCACTGACTTCCTCGAGTAAACCTGCCCTTGTCTTCTGGATACAACCCTTGGGTGAATACAGTCAGGTTGGCAATTCAAGTTTCACTAGAAGTAGCACATAAGAAAGGGCTGGTGATCCGCTGATAAATCAGTTCTACTCTGCTGCTTTAGTCTTTTGTATGCAGCCTGGGGTCGGTTTCTTTTGGGGGATGTGAACAAGAGTCTTTGGACCACAGCTGAGAGAATGATTGATTGGCCAGTTAAGACTCAGTGACCAACCACCACAAGATTAAAGCCAATGTCCCTGAGAGCGCAGACCCAGGTTCCCAGATCCTCGGCTCTGCGGGTGTTCTACCCCAGGCAGCACAAAGCTGGACTGAATTTCACGTATCCGCTCAAGACCTAGGCGAGGGTTTGCTTTGAATTCAAGCCCAGATACTTCCTCGCCTTTGGACGTCCGGAGTTTTACTTGGCCACAAACAGCTATACCTTTGTTGCTTGTGGGTGCCGTTGAGTCGATTCTGACTCATAGAGACCCCATGTTGTGTTACAGAGTAGAGCGGCCCCATAGGATTTCTTAGGCTGTCGTCTTTACGTAAGTACATTGCCAGGTTTTTCTCCTGCACTGCCTCCGAGTGGGTTCAAACTGCCAATGTTTTGGTTAGCAGGTGAGCACTTAACCATTGTACTACCCCGGACAAAACCAGGGTTGTTGTTGTTGTTGTTATGTGCCGTGGAGTTGGTTCCAACCCATAGCGGCCCTATACAGGGTTTCCAAGGCTGTAAATCTTTATGGGAGCAGAAAGCCTCATCTTTCTCCCGTGGAACAGCTGGTAGTTTCGAACTGCTGGCCCTGAAGCAGCCCTATTCGTAACCATTATGCTACCAGAGCTTAAAACCAGGGTTGTTGTTGTTGTTATGTGCCGTTGAGTCAGTTCCGACCCATAGCGACCCTGTATAGGGTTTCCAAGGAGCAGCTGGTGAACTTGAACCACCAACCTTGTAGTTCAAACGGCTTTACAGTCTGGTGCTTTAACCCACAGTGCTACATGTTACAAATTCACTTTGTGGAATCAAATCACTGTGGCGTGTTTGCTCTGGTGAATTTTGCTTGTTATAAAAATAGCCTTACGATAATATTAAAAGCAAATGCCTAAAGGGAACAAAATATCCATAATTCCTTAATCTGGGCTCCCTTCTTTTCTTTCTGCTGGCTTTTATGTAGCATTTGGCTTTATGCTGCCATATTTTTTGCTTAGCTGTAGCACAGTCCTGGGACTATTAATTCTAGTCCGTCTTTCCTTCTCACACAGTATCAGTGTTGCTATTACATAGTTGTCATGATTATCATTTTATAAAGGATGAAAAATATAGCCATTCTGTACTTGTAGCTTTTTGTTGTTGTCTCATTTGAATTATTTCATCAGGATAATTTATGAGGAGTAGAATCAATGGTCCAGAGAGTACAAGATTTTTCTTCCTCTTGATATGTATGGGGAACCCTCAGTCATGCTAACAGTTAACGTGCTTGGCTGCTAACCAAAAGGGCAGCATTTCAAGTCTGCCCATAAGTTCCAGAAGAAAGTCCTGGCTATCAGTTAGTGGAAACCCTACAGAGTTCTACTCTGACACACACAGGGTCAGTTGGTTGTATATTGTTAACTTGCCTTCCCAACGAACTCCACATTTTTGCGCTGTCCTGGTGGCCTCTGAGTATCCATAGCCCCACAGACGCACCGGGACTTGACCACACGTCCATGGGTGGATGGTCTTGGTGGTAAGCCTCTTTTGGGCCACAGCTCTGAGCCATGTGCATCTCCTTCCCCACACTGGCCCCACAAAGAGACGGCACTGTCCCAAACATGTCTCCAGTCATTACTGTCCACCCCAGGTCTAAGCAGTAATTGTTACAAGACCTCTAATGGTCGCACCAACCACATCTCTCTTTAGCAGGATCACTGACCCTTTGTGTGAGCTCTCTTTCTGGAAACCGCTTTGTCTGCACTTGCTGGTTACAACATCATGACCTGCAATTTACAGCCAGCTCATTTTCTTTCTTGTAAAACCAACAATAGCAACAAACAGTGCCAACCTGGCAGAGGGTCCCGGAGTGAGGGTGGTGGTCAGCGATCAGTGATGTCTTTACTAAGGGAGGGCTCCAGAGGATAAGATCCGAATCAATAAACAACAACTTAGAGTAGACCTGCCCTAGAAGGTCTCCCAGGCTGTCATCTGTATGGAGGGAGGCTGCCTTTTCTTCCTCCCATGGAGTGGCTGGTGGGTTTGAAGCAATGGCCATCTGGTTAGCAGTCAAGTGCTTAACACTGTGCCACCAGGGCTCCTTTTAAGATCCTAATAGGAAGCTTTTTTTCCTAGTGTGGTGCTGCAGTATAATGCGCTGCACCACAAGGTCGGTTTGAACGACAAAGTCAGCAGTTCAAACTCACCAGCCGCTCCTTGGAAACCCTTTACAGGGTCGCTAGGTGTCAGAACTGACTCAAAGGCACTTAACAACAATGAAAGTGTCTGACTTGTTTTTGGTGGCAACGAACATCCGTCTATTCACAGTTTGTACACGCACCAACAATTCAGCGGCACTAGTTACATGTGTCATGTGTGCCACCATTCTGTTCCTACCCATACTGCTTCATCACCATTGAGCGACGCTCTCTGTCCCTTAAAGTTCCATCTGTGCTTTATTATTACTTTAAAAAGTAATACCCTATTGTGTTTGGGGGCAAACGTTTGCATGGTGAAAGGTTTGGTTTCCATTTAACAATTGCTGCACAAAGTGGTAAGCACTGGTGGGACTGTAGGGTAAGCACTGGATTGCTAACCACAAGGTCGGAAGTTCAAATCCACCAACTGCTCTGTGGGGGGAAAAATGAGGCTTTTTGCTCCCTTAAAGATTGACAGCCTTGGAAACCCTGTGTTGTTAAATGTTGTCAAGCTGCTTCCAAGTCATAGTGACCCTGTGCAGGGTTTCCGAGGGGCAGCTGGTGAGTTTGAACTGCTGATCTTGGAGTTCAAACCGACCTTATAGTCCAGTGCTTTATCCCACTGTGCCACACCAAGACTCCCTATACGAGGTCGCTATGAGTCAGAACCGACTCAACGGCACTCAACAACAGCACACAGAGTCTTCAGTGATATGAGTTCCATTTTTCATAATGTGTCAGCCTTCTCTTTCCTTGCATTCTGGTTGTTCTGTTGCCATTGCTCTAGTTTCCCTGCCCCAGTCTCTTCTCATCTCTGCTTTAGAGTCATTGCTGACCTTCATCTGTGTTCTAGATGGACTGTCCTCAGTTTACACTCCATATTGTTGTTGTTAAATGCTGTCAAGTGGGTTCCGACTCATAACAACCAGGTGTGGGGTTTCCGAGGAGTGGCTGGTGAGCTTGAACCACTGAACTTGTAGTTCAAGCCAATCTGTAGTTCAAGTGCAGCACATTAACTCACAGTGCCACACCAGGAGTCCTTGCATTCCATAGATAATTCTTTGCAAGAGCTCTGTGGTTGAAGCAAACTTGGCACTGAAGCCAGATACCACCATAGAGAAACGTGACCCGATACCCACCTTCTTTGTGGGGTCACAGCAGTAGTTTCCCTGTTTTCAGACTCTCCCCAACACATCCAGTGTCCTCACTACATGCTACCTGTCCAGATACCCACACAATATGTCCTCTAACCTGTCCGGTTAGGCATATTTCCTGTAATATGGGATTCATGTCCATGAAAACAAGTCATGATTATAATGACCTGTTTAATAATCAAGCTGAGTGAGTTCCTGCACATTGGGAGGCACTGTGGACCCCGAGTAACATCCCTGCCATTCCTGGTGGTAAGCACCTTCAGCAGGTGGAAACTGGGGTTACCTTAGGGTGGTGATAGGCCAAGCTGGGGTCTCCACCTGTTGTAGGTTCAACAGGAGGTGCACAACAGGCTGATTCCAGTTCCTTCCTACAGGTACCGCTCTCCAGGCTTCCACGTGCAGTCCTGGTACGATGAGGTGAAGGATTACACTTACCCCTACCCCCACGAATGTAACCCCTGGTGTCCTGAGAGGTGTTCCGGAGCCATGTGTACTCATTATACACAGGTAAGGTTCAAGGGACGGGTGCCCCCTGGCCCAGCACCCCATATCCAGCCACCCAACTCCCTTGGAGACTGTGGATGGCTCTGCAGAACGTGGGCTGCTGTTTCCCTCGCTGGTTTTCTTGCAGTTGGTGATGCTCAGTGCATGGCCCCTTCCCCTGTTTGTCCAGCTTCCTCCCCATTTCCTTGTATCATGAGCTACCTCTAGGAAGTGTCCACTGTGTGCCCAGCAGCGTGTCCTGGTGGCTTTATCGAATTCCGTGTACAGCAGCCCTGCAGGACAAGAATGACTGGCCCACACTCATATTTATCTGTGTGCAGCCGCCCTGTAGGGCGAGCAGCACTGTCCTCTGCTTGGGGGATGAGGGGACTAGGAAGTGAGTAACAAATAAGAACCCCCTTCCAGGCCCCCACCCCATTCAATCCAGGTCTGTCTGGAGGTAGTCGCTTTCCCAGCATGCTTACCTGTGTGCTCAGGAAAGTTGACATGGCAGGAGGTGAGTCTGTTAGTACCTCAGAGTTTTTGGAACTGGGACAATTTTCTGCAACAACCTGCCCAGTTTTCAGCTCCATGGGGGAGTGACTTGGCCCATGCAGCACAGTGAGTTAGCGGAGCAAACAGGACTAGAAAGGGTCCTCTTGAGTCCCACTCCAGTGCTAATACCCCCTAAGGGACGTGTGTGATTTGAACCCAGTGGAAGGGCTATAATGGTAGGATTTCTAGCAGGTGGTGGGTGATGTTGCAGAGAAGACAGGGACAGATGGTACCCCATTCAACCTCTGCAAGGACGTGTTCCCTCAATGCTAGCGCCTTACAGAGCAAGGTCAGATAACAATCCCCAACAACGACACGCGGTGTTATCTTTTCAGATAGTCTGGGCCACTACCACCAAAGTCGGCTGTGCCGTGCACACCTGCAGGAGCATGAACGTCTGGGGAGATATCTGGGAGAACGCAGTCTATCTCGTCTGCAACTATTCTCCAAAGTAAGAACAAGCTGAGACAGGCGTAAGGGTCGGCACTGTTGCCCGATGCAGATTACCTGGTGGAAACTGGCTTGAAGAGTGAAGTCTCTACTACTGTACACGACAGGGCGTCTAGAGGGAGATGCTTCCAGGTTAGACAGTCCTCTTCTCATGGCCCCAAGGTGGCTGCAGAGCTCCGGACATCATGTCCTCTATCTGAACCTGGGTTCTAGAGAAGCAAAACCAGTGTGTGTGTATCAAAAAACAAACCCAGTGACAGGTAAGACGGAGGAATTCGCACTGACCGCCTAAGACAGGCAGCGTACCTTAAACAAATAATAAATAAGGGGGAAACTGATGCAGACCGTGCAGACCCGGCCAGGAGTTCAAGGCCCTGTGGGCCCAAGCGTTGCAGACAGTCCAAACCATAGGCTCTGAGGATCAGACTTTAGCCACCTAGCAGACATAGCAAACTGTCGCTCATCTGATTATTCATGTATGCTTGTTAGTAATCGCATACACGAGCCCTGGATATCCACAGATAAATGTAAAAACCTTCCCTAAAAACCGATACTGTAAGTTCCAAAAAGGCAAAGTTTCCCCCCCGACCCCCACCCCAAAAGACAAAAGCTAAAGAGGATAGAGAGAAACACTGTTAACTGATGATGTATGGAGGGGATTATAATCAATGTAATGAAACAAGTCATATGAATGGTTGAATGTGAAGCTGATGATATGCCCTGTAAACTTTCACTCAATCCACAATAAAAACCTTAAAAAAAAAACCAAACCCAGTGCCATGGAAGCTGGCAAATCCCCAAGTTGGCAGCTCATATGATAGACTGCAAGCTGCTGACTCAATCCTAAGAATCCAGGTCAGATGACGGTGAGGTAAATGGAAGGGAGAGCCTGGCCAAAGCATTCCTGTGTGTATATATAGTAGATGCAGGTCACACCCCCAGGAAAACTCCCTTTACATCAGAGTAAGGGTGTGACTTGAGTAAGAGTGGAATTTAAATATGAGTGTGACTTGAGTAACGGTTCGATTTGAGTAAGGGTGTGACTTGAGGTGTGACTTGAGTAAGGGTGTGACTTGAGGTGTGACTTGAGTAAGGGTGTGACTTGAGTAGGGGTGGAACTTGAATAAAGCATAGAATTTAAATAAGAGTGTGACTTGAGTAAAGGTGTGACTTGTGTAAGGATGGTAACTAGTAAGAATGTGACTTGAATATGAGTGTGACTTTAGTAAGGGTGGTAGCTTAAGTAAGGCTGTGAGTTGAGTAACGGTGTGACTTGAGTAAGTGTGTGACTGGAATAGGATGGAGCTTGAGTCACCCCCTCTTGTAAGATACAAGCCACACCACACACTCAAGATACACCACCCCCGAATTCTGCCTCATTCAAACACATTAGGTTAGGATTCACAATACATAAAATGGGGGATAATCACATCAGATTATGAAATAGAGGGCTGCCCCATAATACTGGCAATCAGGCCTAAACAAGATGACACAGAGCTTTAACCATCACATCCTCCCAAGCAGAAGAGAGAGACAATAGCAGACCAGACTCTCTCCTCAGGCCTTTCTCACTTTCTCACTTTCTCCTTATGTCATCAGCCGGTACTATACCAACCATGGAAAAGGGGAGACTGCCCCAGCTGCTTTCCAAGTCATCATCTGGAGCCTCTAAGCAAAGTCAGAAAAAATAACAGTTCTTGATGGGACATTAGGTGGATCTGTCTAGCAGGGTGTTTTTTTTCTCTGAAAACGATCAGCAGGTAGTATCTTACAAGTATTTCACACTAAACTTTGTTCTTGGGGCTCCGTATTTCCTTCCACAACTAGAACCACAAATCCCTTCTTCCTCCTGACGTCACCCTGTAACATGTTGTTCATCCCACACTTGCTCACCTCTATCGCACACCAAACAAATGCTGCCTGTGGTTTGCTGGGCTGGCCACTGGGCCTGCTCTCAGGCTTGTGTGTTTGAGCGCCCCTGGACGATGGGATGGCAGTGACCTCACTTATTTGGTTTGGGTCAGAAATGACCGTGAGAAGGATGAGTGAAGGGGGACTCACAGGGGTTGGGAGGGAAGCAAGGCTGTCTGCTCTCCCACTTGTCTGGGGCACAAATGATGGCATGGTGTCAGTGCTGGGGACCCTGTGGGAAAATGCTGATGGTAGTGGGGTTCCTGGCAGACTGGCAGGTGGGGTAAGGAGTGAATAGATTTGACTCTTGATACTAAAATAGACCCCAGAAATCTGAGCATTCCCTAGTCCCCATCCCTTTCCTTAGAAAGAAGTAATATACATAAAGCGCCACGTGCCACTCCTAAAGGTGAGGCTTGACAAGTCCTCACAGGTGAACCTCACATTGTTGCACTTTGCGGATACTGCGGTTTTGTTTGTTTTTTAAACAAATTGAAGGTTTGTGGTGACATTTTGTTGAGCAAGTCTGTGGGTACTATTGTCCCACAGCCTGAGCTTTATGTCTCCATCTCATTTTGGTCTTTTTTGAAATATTTCAAGTTTTTTCCTGATGCCTTTTGCACACTTGAGAGACTCCAGTTTAGTGTAAATGTAACTTTTGAAGCCCTGGGAAACCAAAACATTCGTGGAACTCTCACGCTACTGTACTCCTGGCTTTCTTGCTCTGGCTGTGTGACATTGGACAAGCTCCTGATCCCCTCTGTGCCTCAGCGTCCTCTGTAACAGAGGACAGAGTCCCGGCATCTCCCACTGCCGGCACACTTGTGTGTGGTTTGCGTGTAGTAAACACTGTTGCTCTCACTGCCCCAGTCACAGTCTGGAAACCCCTGCAGTTCTGCTCATTGCAGAAATAGCTCAAATGAACAATCCTGTCCACTTCAGTGCAAAGGTGCTGGAGCTCTGGGGAGGGGGTGTCTGGCCGTGCTAAGAGCTTCAAGTGGGGAGCACTACTGGCCGAGGGAGTCTGACAGTGCATACGCCATCACAGGACAGAAGTGCCGGATGGAGGTGCCCAGGCCTCACTAGAATCTACTAGAATTCTCCAATCTGTGGGCATAGGGGGCCTGGACAGTTGTCCTTACCCTCACCCAGCCCACACCTTCCTGTTTCCCGACCAGGAGGGGATCCAGGAGAGATGGGGTGGGCTGATCCTGACTGTGTCTTTGGTCTGTCTCTAGGGGCAACTGGATTGGAGAAGCCCCCTACAAAAACGGGCGGCCCTGTTCGGAGTGCCCTCCTAGCTACGGAGGTAGCTGCAAGGACAACCTGTGTTACCGAGGTAGGGGCTGGCTTAGAAGACCACTTCTTTCTCTCCTTGTTTTTATTTTATTTATTTAATTAACTTTTTATTGTGAATTGAGTGAAGGTTAACAGACAACACCATTAGCTTTACTCTCAACCAGTCGTATGTTTTGCCTCATTCCTTGATTACAATCCCCTCCCTGCAACGACGGTGAGCCTGCTTCTTTCCTGTGGTTTTCCTTTTACATCTTTTATTTTTTAACTTTTTACTGTGATTTTTTTTGTTTTTTACTTTTTATTGTGCATTGAGTAAAAGTTCACAGAGCAGATCATCAGTTTTACATTCAAACAGATCATATACTTTGCTTCATTATATGGTTGCAGTCTCCTACTTTTTATTGTGATTTGAGGGAAAGTGTACAAAGCAAATGGGTTTTCCATTCAACACCTCGGACACATTTTGTTTTGTGATAATGACTGTGGAGTAACAAGACTCTTGCCACTTCCTCCCAGTTTCCCGTTTCCATTCTTCCTTCTTCCCTATCCCTTCCTGCCTTTCTGATCTCACATGGTTGCTCATCGTAAGGGGTGTGTACCTCCCTGGTGTGATTCTTCACCTTATAGGCCTCCCTACTGTTTGGCTGAAAGTTGAGCCTTTGGGGGTGAGTTCAGTTCCAGACCTGAAGCATGACTAAGAGCCATAATCTTGGGGGATTACAACAGACTTACCCTCCAGACTCTAAGTTGTAGAATGATACCACTTAAAAAGAGGAAATTTAGCAATAATGTCAAAATTGTTGAGCTCTGAAGGAGGAGGAGGAGGAGGAAGAAGAAGCCAAGTGCTGAGAGCAGGGAAAGGTATTTCTGGCAGGAGAAACAATCTGTGCAAAGGCCAGGAGACATGAGGCCATGTGGTTATGAGAGTGGACCATAGAAAGCCCCACACACATGCGCAGCCCTGTCTCTGACCCTCCTGAAGGTGTCTGCCATGTGCCAGGGTGTTTTTTAACCGGAGCTGTGCTCAATCACTGTCTGGCAACATCTCTTCTTCCCTTTTGACAGCTGCATGCTGTCTTGAATGCAGTCCCCCTGTCCTCCTGATTCCTGGATTTGAGGGATAAGCATGAGAGTAGAGTCCAGCCCTCTGACTTTAAAACTTAACCCTGTCTTTTCCAGTAATGGGACCCTGGGCAGGTCACTTCAGCTCTCCAAGCCTTGGTCTTCCCATCTGAAAATGGGGTTGCAATGCCCACCTGGAGTTGGTGGGGGGCTAAAGAGAATTCAGGTTGAGGTTGACCTTCTATGCCTGCCAGACCCCTCCCTGTATTCCTACTCAGGCAGGTCCTTGTAGCCATTGTGGGGTCACCTGGGGGGTCAGATCCTGTGCGCAGGTAAGGGCCAATGCCCTTTGAAACTTCTGCTGGGTATCCTAGGGTTCTGTGTTCAAATCTAATCCCATCACAGGGTTAAAGCACCTCTATACCAGGCTCCAGGCTGTCTGCCCTCTCTGTGAGTCTCAGTTTCCCCATCACAGCTCACCATGGTGGACACGCTGGGAAGGTGCAAAGCCCCTTACACGGAGCTCTATGCACATGCTCGCTAACCCCTGGCAGAAGCAGGGGGGCACGGCTGCACTTGCCACCCTACAAAGGGGAGCCCCTCACCTGGTGGAAAGTGCCATTCACCTTCCAGCCTGGAGGACCCTAATCTACCCTAGGAATCTGACAGAATCACACCTCCTCCAGGAAGCCTTCCTGACTTGCAGAAACACAGAGCACCTCCCTCCGGGTCTGATTGCACCGGGCACTGCCCTGGAGCCACGCACACCGCAGTCCATGCCAGGGCCTCCGGGCCCACAGCTGGTGTACTGTGCTCACTGTCTGAATAAATGCAGGCAGACCTCAGAGATCTTGTGGGTTCGGATCCAGACCACCACAATAAAGCAAGTCACACACACTTGTTAATTTCTCGGTGCTTATACAAGTGATGTTGATACTAGACTATGGCCTGTGAAGTGTGTAATGTTGTTGTTGTTATGTGCCATGGAGTCGGTTCCGACTCATAGTTACCCCGCACAGGGTTTCCGAGGCTGTAAATCTTAACGGGAGCAGAAAGCCTCATCTTTCTCCCGTGGAACAGCTGGTAGTTTCGAACTGCTGACCTTGTGGTTTGCAGCCCGATTTGTAACCACTACGCTACCAGAGCTCCTTGAAGTATGTAATAGCAGGATTTAAAAGTTCAAAATATTGTGAGATTGACCAACACAGACCCAGAGACATGAAGTGTGAGCACAGGTTATTTGTTAAAATGGCATTGATTGAAAAAAGAGTCGGGGTTTTCATGATAAAAGAAACAATCTATGATGGTTTGGGGGGAGGAAATGATACTTGTGCTAGAGGGTGGACACGCATTGACACGGGTGACAGGGCAGGCAACATCCATCCATCCGGAGGGAGGTGGCAGAGGACAGATCGGGATGAACACAGTGGTTAAAGTGAATCGAGGTCAATGCTGTTAACTGTTGGTGCATGGAGGGGATCACAACCATATAATGAAGCAAAGTAGATGATTTGTTGAATGTAAAACTGATGATCTGCTTTGTAAACCTTCACTCAATTCCAATAAAAAGTTAAAAAAAAAAAAAAGAAGAAGAAAGTGGCATGGATAGACCTGATGCAGGGTGGCAGTATCTGCAACACGCAGTAAAGCGAGATCTGCCTGCATGCTCTGATATCTGCAGAAGCCTCTCCAAAGCGTCCACACACCTGGGGTGCCTGACCCACCCACTGAAGCCTCCTGCGGTAACTCCTTTATTTTTGGTGGAAAATACCCAATTTCACTTGGCTGCCTTCCCACGTCTCTAAGCTCACTGGGCAGAAAATCTCCTCAGAAGCAGCTTATCTGCATAAACCACTTAATAGCGTTTATTGAGGGCGCCTGGAGAGGCCATGACCTCTAATGGAGATGGAGTAGAGATTGGGGGAACGGAACAGACCCGTTTCTTTACCTCCAGCTCTTCCCCGTGTGGCACTAAAGGGTGTGGGCCATCTAACTGTAGAGCTCAGCATGTCACCTAGCCTCTGGTGCCTTGACTGTCCCCAGCTGTGAAGTGGGGGCCAGTCCTGCCTCTGAGGATCCCTGGAGGAAGAGAGTGCTGGGCAGGCACTTAGCTGGCAGGTTGGCAGTGAGTTCTGTAGCAGGTGGGGACCCCTGGGTGGTGGTAGCTACCTTGTAGTGAACTAAACATCGCGCCATTTCTGTGGCTACTGGTAAGCTTACATCCAGTGTTTTGGCTGCTGTGTATTTCAAGTGTCTTCTGGCATGGGACGAGACCTGGTGGCACAGTGCTTAAGCATTCGGCAATTAACCCAAAAGTCAGCAGTTCAAACCCACCAGCTGCTCTTTGGGAGAAAGATGAGGCAGTCTGCTTCTGTAAAGATTTATAGCCTGGAATTCTCCATGGACCAGCTCTGCTCTGGCCTCCAGGGTGGCTGTGAGTTGGAATGAACTCCACAGCAGTGTGTTAGAAATGAATTCCGATGTCACACAAAAGACACTTGGTGAGACTAAATGACCTTGGGAAAGCAAAATTTCCTCCTGCAAGAGGGTGCGTGCGCATAGCCGTACATACAGGAACAGGCCAGCGAGCACACCGAGTGGACAGTCCACTGGGTTTTTAATCCCTGACGCGAGTCTTAAGGCTGTGGCTCACCCCATTGGCTAGGGGTTTGACTGTGTAATCTTTTCTCTTACCCAGTTGGCTAGTTCAGATTTCTAAGGCACGCATTCCTATTTTAGGAAAGGAAAAAGAAAGATTGTAAAGTTTCTGCTTTCTTCAGGAAGTTGTTGTTAGGTGCCATCGAGTCGGTACCAGCCCATAGTGACCTTATGCACAGCAGAATGAAACACTGCCCGATCCTGGTCAAAGAAAAAGAGAGATCATAAGGTCTTTACTCACTTCAGGAAGTAGTCAAAGAAAGAGAGAGAGATCTTAAAGTCATTTCTTCAGGAAGCAAAGAAAAAAAGAAAGGTTCCCCGAATACAGTAAACAGGATTATAATATATATATATATATATATATATATTCACACACACACACACACACAAGTGGGCTTGGATTTGTTTACTTTTATATACCTGTTTGGCAAAGGTGATTGCTAGGGTTGGGTTCAGTTCCAGACGTGTGAGTGTCAAAGGGACGTGATCTTGGTTGGAGGTTCCTCCAGTCTCTGTCCAACCAGGAAGTCTGGCCTTTTCTGTGATTTTAAATATTGTTCAATGTTTTTCTCCCACTCTGTTCAGGACTTTCTGTGGTCCTAATTCAAGCAGTCAGTTGTCGTGGCCGGGTGCCATCTCGGTCCTCTGGTCCATCATGGAGGCTGTAGTTCAAGGGGTCCATTGGTCCTTTGGAGAACTTATTTTTTGGTGGTTCAGCTTTGAATTGCTGAATGATCTTTCTCATAGCTGGTGATAGAAACTTTGGTGGTGATCAGAATGTGGCTCCTAGGGCACAGGACCTGCCCACCATACCCAGATACACCTCTGCCCTCAAGGCCACAGTTCCAAGCTAGCTGTGCCACAGTGCAGACATTTTCGGGAGCAGGGGGTACAGTGGGAACAGGGCCCCGCAGAAAGCAATGGGGAACAGCGGTTTTCTCTGCTTTGGCTAGAATTCATGGTCTGGCATCCTGGTGTCTGAGGGCAGACCCTGGCATGCTGTTAACAATTACCTTTCAGAATGAAAGCTGAAAGGTTAATGAATTAGTGCTTAATGGGGTCATCTGTTGACAACTTAAAATATTCTAAACCATGAGGGCTGTGGTTGTTGGGTGGGAGAAAGTTTGGGGTTTGGTGAACTCATTTTCTTTCCCCCCGTTAAAATGAATATCACCTGTTTCCTTCCTTTCACTTTTAAATATAGTCACTATTTTTGAGAGCAGCCTCATGTTTGTAGAAAAGTTGTGTAGGCCCCTCCCCATGTACACAGTGTCCCCAATTCATAGCATTGATGTGGCCCATGTGTTTCAATGGACAAACTAACATGGATGCACACTATTAACTAACCATCAACACTCACGGAAGCAGCTGTCATGAAATCAAATGACGTATTGCATTAGGTAAATATGCCACATAAGACCTCTTTAAAGTGTTGAAGAGCAAAGATGTCAGTATGAGGACTAAAGTGTGCCTGATCCAAGCCATGATATTTTCAATAACCTCATATACCTGTGAAAGTTGGACAATGAATAAAGAAGACCATAGAAGAACTGATGCATTTGAGTTATGGTGTTGAGGGAGAATATTGAAAGTTCCATGGACTGCCAAAAGTACAAACCAATCGGTGTTGGACGAAGTACAACTAGAAGACTCCTTAGAAGCCAGATTTCATCTCTCATGCTTTGGACATATTATCAGGATTAGCCCCTGGAGAAGGACATCATGCTTGGTAAAGTGGAGGGTCAGGGGGAAGAAGGAAGCTCCCAGAAGAGATGAGTTAGCATCGTGGCAGCAGCAGAGGGTTCAATCTTAGCAATGATTGTGAGATCGGCACAAGATTGGGCAGTGTTACATTCTGTTTTGCGTGGGTATCAACGTGACGGCACCTAACAACAACATTAACTAAAGCCCATAGCTTACACTGGGGTTCACTCCTAGTCATATGCATTATGTCACGTGTGTGCCGGTACAGTGTCATACAGAATCATGCGTGTAATGACCATGAAGATGGTGCGGGACCAGGCAGTTTCTTCTTCCTTTGTTTATTCGATCACCATGGACTGGAACAGTCACAGCAATAAAACAACAACAGAGCCCATGTTCCACCTACTCATCACTCCATCTGCCCCCTGGACTCCAACCCCCACTGATCTTGTCTGTCCTTACAGTATAAGGTCACTGTGAGTCAGACTTGAAATGATGGCACACAACAACAACACACTTTTGCCTTTCCAGGCTGTGGTGTGGTTAGAATCACACACGATGTAGCCCTTTTCAGACTGGCTTCCTTCACTTTGTGGTCTGCACTTACGGTGCTTTAGCATCTTTCCATAGCTTGATAGTTCACGCAATACCCACCGCTGTCGAGTCGATTCTGTCTCATAGCAGCCCTAATGGACAGATTAGAACTGCCCCACGGGGTCCCAGGGGCTGTAAATCTTTATAGAAGCACACTGCCACATCTTTCTACCACAGAGCGGCTAGTAGGTTTGAGTCTCCTGGCTAGAAGTCTAGCGCTATAACCACAGCACCACCAGGGCTTCTGATAACCCACAATGACTAACCTTTTTCTAAATCAGGAGTTGAGGTCTGGAGAGAGAGACATGAGGTACCAGCGTGACCGGGCAGTAGAACCCCGGGGCTGAGAACTGAACTGAGTTGGCTAAATGGGCCTGGCTCTAAGGGGGGACAGAAAGGGGCAGGACTTGGGTCTGGGTACATCTCAGGGGTCTCAGAGCATGCACATGTGTCCTTGTGATTCCCCCCCCCACACACACACACCCATGATGGGTAGATACAGAAGGAAGCCTGGACCCCCCAGTGAACACCTGGAGATAGAGGGACCTTGGGAGTCAGAGATGAGACAGTTTTATGAGACTGTTTCCTGGGGCAGGTCAGGGAACAGGAAGCCAATAGATGTGGGGCCGACCCTCTTGCCCTGGGTCAACCAAGCTCCTAGCAGGTCCAAAGCAAACAGGGCAAGCCACGAGTAGATCCAGGTCCTCCCCACTGGTAGAATTCCGCCGAGCCAGTGACTGAAATGATTCTTTGTGAAACCAAACCTCAAACAATTTCATTTTCAACTAACTTTTTTTCCTTAAGTATATTTCTGTTAAATCTCACCGGGTTTTTTGTTTTGTTTTGTTTTTCTTTCTCTCTCTCTCTTTCCTTCTTCACAATGAAAAAGAGACCTACAACCAAAAATCTGAGACAGATGAAATGAACGAGGTGGAGACTGCTCCGCTTCCAGAAGAGAAACACGTGTGGATCCAGCCGAGGGTGGCCAGGCCCACGAAGCCCAGTAGAAGCGCTGTGGTCAGCTACATGGGTGGGTCCCTGCCTTCTGTGTGCCGACAAACCCCCAGCCTCCTCTGGGGAACAGAGGAGGAAAACTGCTGGATTGAGAGGGCAGGGTATGGCATAAGAAAAGCACAGCCCTAAGACATTTTTAAAAGAATGATATTTTACAGTCATTTAAAAAAACAAGCATTATAGGAGCTGCACTTTACAGCTTTATTTATTTATTTTTTTTCTAAACCCAAGCAGATATTTTAAGGTTAGAGAGTCCCTGGTCCTTTCTTAGGGGAACTGGGTTGGAACTGGGTTCATCTGGCAACCCTACTTTTCCCACGGGAGTGTATGCACTATGGAGCTGGATCCATCGAGCCCCAGCCTGCCTTCACCATGCTCTGCTCTGTGCTAGGCTGCTGGCCCCATCCATGGACTCGGTTTGACCATCCATGAAGTGGGGCTAACAGCACCTCTGTCAGAACTGCTATGACAGAGGGGAACCAATGCCGCAGGGGAACAGTGTTCCAGGGGAATCACTGCTGCAGGGGACCAGTGCTCTAGGGGGACTAGTGATCCAGGTGAACCAGTACTGCAGGGGACTAGTGCTCCAGTGGAACCAATGCTGCAGGGGGACCAGTGCTCCAGGGGGACTAGTGCTACAGGGGGACCAATGCTGCAGGGGATCAGTATTCCAGGAGAACCAGTGCTGCAGCGGACCAGTGCTTCAGGGAAATGAAGGGTATGCAGGCACCTCTTCAAAGTTTAATCTTTAGAGTCACATGTCCTCACAAAGCCCTTTGAGTGGATACTGTCAGTATCCCATTATTCATATGTGGAAACAAGTGTTGGACCTGGGATTCCAGTCTCACCATGGAAGCCCACAGCCATTATGCAACACGCCTGCCGTCGTTGTGACATGGGTCCAAGTGTGCTCCTCAGAACAGGATGGGCAGGGGTCTTCTAGCCCAAACTCCTCCTGCTGGTTTCTTGCTTTGTTTGACCTATTTCTCCTCCTTCCTTTCCCAGCCCAGGTTGTCCGGTGTGACACCAAGATGAAGGACAAATGCAAGGGTTCCACGTGCAACAGGTAACGTCTTGGCTTTGTCCCTGTCTCATGGTCCCGGAGGCACTGGCTGTGTTCTCATGGGTCATGCCATGATTTGTTCTGTTGCTTCATTGCAGACCAGGCTGGGCAGAAACACAGGCAAACGGTGCTCACGACTTTGAGCATAGACGGCAGCCAGACTGGGTGGGAAGCTGACTTGGTTTGCGTCATGCTAGAGGTTAGACTGACCGTGACGTCTCAGAGTCCCCTGTGTCTTCCTCCACATTTGTCTCTCCTAACGACATGGGTCCCTCAGCCTCAGCGCTGCTGAACTTGGGGCCAGCTCATTCTTAGGGGTGGAGACTGTGCTGTGCACTGTAAGATGTTTAGTGGCATCCTTGGCCTCTACTCACTCACCAGATGCCTATAGCATTTCCATGTGACAACCAGATATGGCCAGCCATCCCCGGGAGGTAAAATTGTCCCCGCTCTAGAACCACTAACCTAGAAGATTGACCCAACTTCTGGGTCTCCTTGCCTCCCCCTCCCCGATTTGCATCCTGGTTAAGTGTTTTGTCTTTACAACCTCCACTCGCTGCACTGAGTGGATTCCGACTCACAGGGACCCTGTAGGATAGAATCAATCTTTATGGAAGCAGATTGCTTCACCTTCTTCCCACAGAGCATCTGGTGGATTCAAACAGCCAACTTTGTGGCTGGCAGTCCAGTGCTTCATTCAGTGCACTACCAGGGCTCCTTTTGTCCCCTTAGGTCACCATGAAATGCATTTTGGGGGAATGGTGAGCATCCATAGTGTGCGTCTGGTAAATTAGCACTCAAAAACAACAACAAATGATTGGTAGCAGAAATGCCCATTGGTGTCAAGCTCCTGATGACCCTGAATCTGAGATGAGCTGCTCTCAAACTAGGGCGAGCTGCCTCCAGCACATCCAACTCTAAGTTAGAATCATCTGTGAGGGGCCTTTAAAAAAACACTCCAGAGCCCTCCGCTCAGAGAGTCGGATTTCATTACCCTGGGAAGGGACCCAACATCACCTCTCCAGGTAATTCCAGTGTACAGCAGGGCAGTGAGTCTTAGGACAGAGTGTGTTTTCAGTCTGTGTGGTGAGCAAATGATCTGAGAAGCTGGACTCTATGAAACAGAATGTGACATCAGGATTGGAGGAAGACTCGTTATCAACCTGAAATATGCAGATGATACGCCCTTGTTTGCTGGAAATGAAGAGGACTTCAATACCTACTGATGAAGACCAAAGACTACAGTCTTCAGTATGGATTGCACCTCAATGTAAAGAAAACAAAAATCCTCACAACTGGACCAGTAAGCAATGTTATGATAAACAGAGAAAAGATTGAAGTTGGCAAGGATTTCATTTTACTTGGATCCCAAATCAGTGCCCATGGGAGCAGCAGTCAAGAAATCCAAGATTGTATTGCACTGGGCCTGGTGTGGCGCTGTAGCTTAATGCAAAGCCATTTGAACTGCAGGTCAGCGGTCCAAGCTCACCAGCTGCGCCTCAGAAACCCTATACAGGGTCGCTATGAGTCGGAACCGACTCGATGGTACTTAACAGCAACAACATTGCATTGGGCAAATCTTTAAAGTGTTAAAAAACAAAGATGTCACCCTGGGGACTAGGGTGTGCCTAAGTCACGGTAGTTTCAATCACCTTGTGATTGTGAAATGTGAAAACTGAACAATGAATAAGAAAGACTGGACAAGAATTGAGGCATTTGAATTAGGGTGTTGGTGAAGAATATTGAAAACGCCATGGTGTTGCCCAGATAGTCTCCATTCCATGTGTGGGAAACAGCGGTCACAGGGAGCCTGCATTCTTTGCCATGGTGGGCAGAAGAGAGGATTCTGGGATGTCTGTGTTGGCTCAGGGCAGTGGCTATTGACAGGTGTGTCAGGATTGCTGTAAACAGGAAGGCTGCTTCTCACTGTTCCTGCCAACTGACGGAGCTGCCAGCCATCTTCCCCAGCAGCTGAATGGATTCCTGTTTGATGGAGTCAGTTGACATTGTCCGCTGAGATGTTGGCTCGCATCTGCCAAGAAGAGCAGGTGGTTTTGGCAGCACAAGTGAGGGGCTGCTCATTCTGGCGGTAAATAGCCGGCAGGTGCAGATGCTCAGGCTCACGGAGGGAAGATGTGTCATTGGACTGGACATCAACATCCTCCTGTGAACCTGGCCTCTGCTCATCTGATGCTGAGTCCCATTGCCTAAAGCGAAGAGGTGGCAGATCTAGGAGTCACCACAGGGCCCTGGGCTGTGGGTGGTGTGAGAACACTTCAATCAGGTGGCATATGTACGTGTTAAGAAAGGAACTTTGTACAATCTGGGATGTCTGTTCAATGGGCCCATACACCGTCCCACGCAAAGCTGGCATGGGTCTGCAAATACCACAGTAACTTGTCTCGGATGACCAGCGGTGGAATGTCGTCGTTGGGTGCCAACAAGTCAGTTCTGACTCACAGCAAAACATTGCCCAGTTCTGTGCCTTTCTCACAATTTTCGGTATGAGGGGGCATAAAAAATTTTGTTGAAAATGGAGTGGAAAGTATGGTGTAGTGAGTTATCTAATGTCTCTTCTAGTCACGGTCCACAAAACAAGGCTTCTGTCCTGCTGGGTCTGACTAAGAGAGGGTGGGAGAGGATACTGATACGATGACAAGACTCATCTGTGGATGTTAGCAGAGTTCACTGTAATTGTAAAAACTTGAAACTAGCATGGGTCTAAAATGAGTTGTCTCAGAAGCAGAAGGGAGGATCTCACTACCATCAAAGAAAGAGCCAGGAGTGGAGCATGTCGTTTAGACCCCGAGATCCCTGTCCACTGAACCTTCTGGATCCAGGGACAGAAAGTTGTGGCACTGAAGGAGTGGTAGAGAAGCACCCACAGCAGAATCAAGAGCCAGAGCACGAGACAGAGCGCTGGACTTCCCAGGCCACAGAACAAGGAAATCTGAGTGATTTGGGCCAGAAGTTTGCTTGTAGCATGGGATGCTTCCAGGCACTTAAATGGGGGAGCTGGTGTGTCCTGTGGGCTGATGGTGGAGCGGTGTGTCCTGTGGGCAAGTTTCAGCCCCTGATGGGAACAATTGTGCCCTGAGCATTTCTGACCCCAAATTTTAACCCATTAACATGCCTAATAACACCCCTAACTGTGAGTCTGGTGTCTGGGTTCTGTGTGGCCACTGCAATGGATTACTGAACCCAGCTGAGTACAGAGGATTGTGGGAGGAATGGTTGGTGCTTCATTTTTTGCAGAACAAGAATGGAATTTTTCCACCAACTTTTTGAAGCCCCCTCCTCTATAAATGTTCACTGTTTTTTCTTTCTATCTTTCTTTCTGTCTTTCTTCCTTTCTTTTAATATTTTAAAAGGTATTCACATTCATTGTAAAGAATTCAGGGGGAAAATTAACATAAAAAGAGATCATGAAATATGTCACATAATCTTACCAATATTTGGTTGTAACTTCATATTTCTTGCCAGTCTTTTTTCTGTGCATCGATGAGGTCAGTTGTGCAAGTTGATAGGCTATCGGTTTCACTTCATATTTTCCGACGTCAGTATACTCTGACATGTGTCCCAACTCAAGTGTGTGTAGCCATTCCTGGATACCTGGAAACTCACCTCCCCTCCAACCTTTCACAGTTAGAACCAGCTGGGATACACATGCATGTATGTCTGTGTGTACCTATATCCATCCTCAGGTGGGCTTGGTACAGAAAGGCACACTGCTACAGAAAGAAAGCCTTCAAACTTGCCAAAAATTATCTGAAAGGAGGTGTTGATCTGCGTTTTGACTTGAGATATTTAACTGCAAAGGAAATTCAAGAGTCGATTTTTATGAATTTTTAACAATGAGTATATATATATATATAGTTAAAAATTCATAAACATTGGTTCTAAACTCATTGTTTCATTGCCATGATTACAATCCCCTCTGCACCTCGTCATTCAACAGTATTTGCTTCTATTCCCTCTGTTTTTTTTTTGTTTTTGATGTACACAGAAACACTCAGCATAATATAATAATTTAAACCACCAAGGGTACATTCTGCTAGCCTGCCTCCTGGCTGCAAGCACACAGCCTTTCTCTTTCCATGAGTTTGGAATCCTCAGCTATTCTATTTCTCTATGTCCTCATCTCTGCCTCCATCTCTAGTGTCGCTGCCTCTCTGGATAGGGTCCCACATTCCACCTGTGCTCTTCTCCCTGGATGGTCCTAGGGTCCTCTGTTTCAGGACTGTAAGATTAAGTACTCACCCCTTTTTGTTATAAAACCTCTACCTTTACAATTGTGACAGTCGCAATTAGTCATGATAACAATTACTCACTATTGAATTGTAAGAATCTTATCAGCAATGGGTATATTTTTAAAGGCTTTCTGTAAAGGTTAGTAAAAATAATTTATCCCCCACATGCTGTATGCAGGACTGTATTTCCTTACATGAACACCCACTGTTTTATCTGCTTTTAAAACAAATGCTGCAATTTGATGCATGGGACATTTTGGCTCTGTTGTGTTTCTAACTGTGTTCATGTGGCTGTAAGACTTCAGATTGAACCTGGGTAAATTATGACCTGTTCAGAAATCATAGATTAAAAATGAATGAAGCTTTAATAAAAATAAAATAAAATCGATGGATATTTAATAACAGAGCCATGATGTTTTCAATGACCTCATATGCATGCGAAAGTTAGACAGCAAATAAGGAAGACTGAAGAGGAACTGATGCCTTTGAATGATGGCGTTGGCGAAGCAATCCTGAATATACCACGGACCGTCAGAAGCACCAACACATCTGCCTTGAAAGAAGCACAGCCAGAATGCTCCTTAGAAGCCAGGATGGCGAGACTTCGTCTCTTGTACTTTGAATATGTTATGAGAGTCCAGTCCCTGGAGAAGGATATCATGCTTGATCAAGTAGAGGGTCAGTGACAACGTGGAAGACCCTCAATGAGATGGATTAACTCAGTGGCTGAGACAGTGAGTTTCAGCACAGGAATGAAGATGAGGACGGTGCGGGGTTGAGGAGTGTTTCCCTCTGGTGTACACAGGGTCACTACGCATTGGAACCAACTCAGCTGTCCCTAACAACGTGCAAGCAGAGGTACAAAAGTCATTATTTTAAATGAGATTAATAGCAATAATAACAATTGTGATAATACTAATACCAATCGAATGTGTTGTGAGATACCATCCACATTTCCCTCTGAAGCTCATTGTAGATCTTCCCTCCAGGTATCAGTGTCCGGCAGGCTGCTTGAAGAACAAGGCAAAGCTTTTTGGAACAGTCTTTTACGAAAGCGTAAGTGGGGCCAATGTTTCCTTAAATGGCTTGTGGGTTTTAAAACAAGGATTTAATAGGAAAAACGTTTCTTTCCCCTCACAAGTAAAACCTCAAGTTAGAGCAGTGCATCTGCATAGCCTCCGGGGTTCAGACGTGTGAGGCCACTTTCGGAAGCCAGGGCTGACCCCCAGGCAGAGCTGTCTCCACTTCAGAATGTGGGTTAATATGCTCGACTGGAGGGAGAGAAAGGACTGTTTGTCACTGTTCTTAGATTGTCAGGCGACTCAGATGTGCTTTTTCAGATAAGCAACCGCAGGAACAAAGAGGTGGTTATAGAGTGAGGGAAGGGTCGGAAGAGGGGTGAGCTTTAGCCTGTCTTTTTGGCTTTTAGTGGGTGAGGACAAATGCCTTAGGTGTTTCTGAAAAAGACCTGTTGACAAAGGTTAATTCAGAGGATATTTGTGGTCTCGTCTCCCCCGCCCTCCAGTCGTCTAGCATCTGCCGCGCGGCAATCCACTCCGGAGTCATCGATGACCAGGGAGGCCTGGTAGATGTCACCAGGAACGGAAAGGTCCCTTTTTTCGTCAAGTCGGACAGGCACGGCGTGGAGTCTTTGAGGTGACTGTTAAAACCAAACCAAGCCAGTACTCGTCAAATGGGCTCCATCTGAGTCGTGGGGACCCCGTGTGCACCAGAGTAGAACTGTGCTCCCCAGGGTCTTCAATGGCTGAGCTCTTTCAGAAGTAGACCACCAACCCTTTCTCCTGAGGCCCCTCTGAGTGGATTGAAATTCTCAGCCTTTCGGTTAGCAGCCAAGTACGTTAACCGTTTGCACCACCCAGGGAATCCCAATCTGTGACCCCAAGACTCGCTCCCGTTGAGTCCATTCAGATACACAACGACCCTGTAGGGCAGAGTTGAACTGTTCCTTAGGATAGCTGAAGCTGCAGATCTTTACAGAATCAGACTGCTTCATCTAGCTCCCGTGGAGTGGCTGGTGGATTCGAACTGTCACGCTTGTAATTAGCAGCTCAGTTCTTAGCCCACAGCACCACGAGGGCTCCTGACTCTGTGGCCAGGGTTCCTTAAAACTTTTCTTTCCTGGTTATGAGCCTATTGACGAAATGTTGAAAAATTATGACAAATAGAAATAAGCCAGGAAAAAAACTGAGGTGAACTTGATCCCTACCTTGGAAATCACCATGATGGACAGTTTAGCATATTCTATTCCTGCAGGATTTTTTATGTATGTATTTGAAATTCAGTTGAGTTTGAATCCTGCCTTTTCTACTTGCCCAGATACCGAGAACTCTAGATACACCGTTGTGACAATCACTGATACCTGTTGATATGTAGGATGATTCTTTATTAGTAATTTTTCTTACTCCATAGAGAACGATGCTTTTCATTACACTTTAAATATACTTCCTTTTCTTCCAAGACAATGTTTTCCGCAGAAGGTACATAGTGGACAACGGAAAGACCATCCTGGTGAATCTGACTATTGGGTGGTAGAGGGAGAAGTCAGAACTCCTGGGTGTTGGGGTCTTGGTTGCATGTGGGATCAGAGACATAGGGGGTGCCCTGGAGCCAGGAGAACTCAGCAGTATACAGCAGGGGCTCTGGGGCAGACAGATCTGCTTTGTGAACTTAAGGAAGAGAGGAGGTAAACATACTAAGAGCAGCGGTTCCAAATCAAAGCAATGGAAATGTCCACGGAACTATTGCTGTGTGGCTGCAACACCAGCCGTAATGCAACAGAGTACAGGCAGAACCGCTCTTTAGCTTGGAAAGGACTCAGTGCCTGCACTGGATAGAACCTTTATCCTGGAGAGATGTCTGCACTGGGTGGAACTTTTATCCTCCAGGGATGGCTGCGTTGGGTGCACTCTCAACCCTTGAGCATGCTTAGGCCCTAGCCTTTATGCTGGAGGGATGTCTGTGTTGGGTGGAACCTTTATGCTGGAGGGATGTCTGTGTTGGGTGGAATATTTATCCTGGAGGGATGTCTTGTCCCTTCCACTGGCCAATTTTGAATACAGGGTTGAAATTCTTCACATTTTAAAATTCAGATGTTCTGTGAACGTCAATGCAAAGAAAACAACAGCTTTATTTCCACCAACCTCTCCATGAAATGTATTTCCTTCCATTATGTATATTGTCTACAAACCAGAGTGACATTGGCAGGTGACACTCCCTCACGGAAATCCAGGTGCTGCTCATTCCCACCTGGAAATGGCAGCTGTGATTGGACCCACACCTGGGATTTGTTATTATTTGTTGTATTACCAAAGAAACACAGAACATAAACTTTTCTCCAGACCTTGATGATGACATTAATATTGGGTAACTCGTTTCTTTGTCATCTTCTGAATATATTTTATGCATGGGCAAGACCATTTATCTGGAAAGGGTTCCACAGACTTCACCAGTGTACCAATGGAGGGGTCTCCACAGTGCAAAACCGGGCTAAGACGCCCTGCTATAGAGGGTCCTGAGAGCTTTCAGGCTGGTGGGAAACAGCTAGGAGAACGTAGTCAAGACTGTAAAAAATATATATATATATAGGTGCCAATGTGTGTTTTGAGAAGCAATTCTGTGTTTACCATTCCTTAATGTTTTGTTTTGCAGTAAATACAAGGCTTCCAGTTCATTCATGGTTTCAAAAGTGAAAGGTAAGTGGACCAGCCTTTTTATGTGACCCTAATCCACAGGTTTACTTGGGTTTCCCTGGAAATTTCATTCCCATTAGTTATTGGTTTAATGGTCAGTGTATCTGCTAACATTGCCATCCTCAGCATAGGCCCACTGCCTGGTTTTGTAAATAAAGTTTTATTGGAATACAGCCAGGCCCATTCATTTACACACTGCCTACAGCTGCTTCCTGCTGCATCATCAGAGTAGTTGTGACAAGAGCTTCCAACCAGTTCCAAAAGGCTCAGTAATTACCCTCATAAACAAGGGCTGCATGCGTGTTGCACTGCAGCCAAATTTGTTCCTCATGTAGTTTCAAACTGTGCCCTGCTCAAAGATGGCGGCCCGCCACGCCATATTGAGTGTGTGTTGCTCTCCAGGGTCCTGCCAATAATTCAATCTCCATTATCAAGCTCCTGAAACTTCGCAGAGGACCACTGGAGAACAACATTTTTGGAGGAAGACTCATTAGCAGCCTGCAATGTGCAGATGATACAGCCTTGCTTGCTGAAAACAAAGAGGACTTAAAATACTGATGAAAATGGAAAAACCATGGCCTTCAGTATGGGCTGCATCTCAATGTAAAGAAAAGACAACAAAAATCCTCACCACTGGACCAATAACTAGCATCATGATAAATGGAGAAAAGATTGAAGTTGTTAAAGATTTCATTTTGCTTGGGTCCACTATCAACACTCATGGAAGCAGCAGTCAAGAAATCAAGCGACATATTGCATTAGGCAAATCTGCCCCTCAAGACTTCTTTAAAGCGTTCAAGAGTAAAGATGTCAGTTTTAGAACTAAGGAATGCCTGACCCAAGCCATGATATTTTCGATAGCCTCATATGCCTTTGAAAGTTGGTCTGTGAATAAGGAAGAACACAGAAGAATTGATGCATTTGAGTTATGGTGTTAGAAAAGAATATTGGTATACCATGAAGAATAGTATTAAAAGTATCATGAACCAACAAATCAGTGTTGGAAGAAATACAGCCAGAATGCCCCTTAGAACCCCAGATGGTGAGACTTCATCTTCCATATTTCAGGCATGTTATCAGGAGGGACCTGACCCTGGAGAAAGACTATCATACTTGGTAAAGTGGAGGGTCATTGAAAAAAAGGAAGACCCCCCAACAAGATGAATTAGCACAGTGGCAGCAGCTTAATGATTGTGAGGATGGTGTTTCATTCTGTTGGCGTAAGGTTGCTATGAGTCAGAACTGACTTGATGGCATCTAACAGCAACAGTAATAATCATTGGCAGGACACCGGAGAGCAGCACACACTGAAAACAGAGGAGTTGGCTGCCATCTTTGAGTAGGGCATGCTTGTTTGTTTCCTACTCAAATCGAAGCAATGTGGGCACCAGAGCTGATTGTTATACAACACAGACCCAGCCCCTGTTTACCAAGCAATTACAGAGCTGCTTTAAAACTCTGGTTGCAGCCAAGACCTTTTAGACCACAATGCTGAATTCACTTACCATCTGGCCCTTTGAGGAAGAGTTCGCTGACCCCTGAACTGCACAAGGAAATGCTCTCAGAGATCACAAGTAGCCAATATGTTACCGATGTTTGCTGTGAGACATACTATATTGTCTCCAGGAGGGGAGTCAGCAGCCACACAGGGATCAGACACAGTGGGGGAGGGCCTTGGTGCCATGGATGGAATCTAACCTGGGGCTCAGAACACTACCTTTCACTGTGGTCTGTGAGGATGCCACAGTTCCTAGTACATGTGACCGGGGTCACAGCTCTCACCCAAATCACATGGGCCAAAGTAGAGGAAGGTCGTCCCATGGGCGAGTATTCTTCAGATGAGAAAGACTATTAAGGGGGAATCGCCCTTCACTGTGAGCATGCTCAGATCCTAAGTGAGGATCTTGGCACCTCCTGGGTTCCAACACAAACGATGAAAGTGACCATGGCAGCAGCCTGGTCCACAGGCTGGTAGCCCCAGTCCAGTTTGCTGAGACCTAACCCTTTCCTGGTGTGTTGCTATCCACAGTGCAGGACCTGGACTGCTACACCACGGTTGCTCAACTCTGTCCATTTGAGAAGCCAACCACTCACTGCCCAAGGTAAGGCCTACAGGTGGAAAGGAGACAGAGCTGGTGGGGCTTGGGCACCTCAGGGGCAGGGGCACTACTTCCTTTCCCTCTGGGCCTCACTGTGGGGTCGGGGGCTAAGAGAAGATGCCACCACGCTGGGCGGGGAGTCACCGCCTGGTAGAAAAGCACAGGTGTTCTAGATGTGCCCTTTACATCCCACCTGGAAGACCCTCAGTCACACTCAGGCAGGAGCTCCCCACAGCTCCCTCAGACCAGCGCTTCTCCACTGTGGCTCCCCCGGGAACATTAAGCATTTTTGGAGGACTTCACCCCTAGTCTTTGGGGTAGGGCCCAGGCAGACCTCGGAAATACCTCAGGATGGGTTCCAGGCCACCGCAATAGAGCAAATATCACAATTGAGAGAGTCCCACACATGCTCTGGTTTTCACAATGCTTAGAAAAATGATGTTGACACTCTCTCTTGTCTATGAAATATGTAACAGCATGATGAAAACATGTGAGATACATGAGAGTGACCAACACGTGACACACACCAAGTGAGCGCAAGCTGTTTGGAAAGATGGTGCGGCTAGACTTGCCCAGAACAGTGTAGCCACAGCCCTTCTATTCGTAAAATATGCTATATCTGCAAGGCGCAATAAAGCGTGTTGCTGTGTTCGCTAAAAGCGTCCTGGATGATGCAAGTCTGCTCCCAGGCCCGAGAAACCCAGAAAGACCCCATAGAACATCAGTGAGCCGATGCATTTGTTCCACTTGATATTGCCACAAGTCACTTGAGAGAATAGTTTCACTGATACAGCTGACTTCACCTGCCCCTAACCTCGTTCCCACCCTGCTCAGACCTCAGGTTTGCCATTCTTGGTTTCTTGAGCAGTGTTAAAGAAGCGCTGGGTTGGACATCACCATTTCCCATGATCTGTAATGTTTTCTGTGCGCCCTTTTTGAAATTGCTTTTTAAAAAAGCTTTATTGAGGTGTAACTCACACAGAATAAAATGCACCTGTGATAAGGATGTGATTTAATGTGTGCTGAGAGGTGTATACAGTCCTGTGGCCACCTCCACAGTGGAATATGGACCATTTCCCCCAGAAGTCCCTTGCCATCAATCCCTGTCCTCCTACCCGCAGACACTGACAACCACACATCTTTTTTGTGTCACTGTAATACCCATGAAGCCGTCCCACATGTAGACGGCTGTGTCTGGCTGCTTTAGCTCAGCAGCACGTGTGTGAGATACAGTTACATGCTGAGTATTACAAACACTGTGCATGTGCTGTGACTGTTATCCCAGGGCAAGGCTTGATGTCTCTCTGCTCAGACCTCAAACAACCGGCTGTTGGAAGATGCTACGTTTTAACATAAAACTAAGGATGTCCTAGCAGTGTTTCTCCCTAAAGTCCTAGTAGATAATCTTGGGAAGGGGAAACAGATTCCCTTTATTGGAACTGACAGAGGAACATCCTTTGACTGAACAGGTTGTAAGTTTTTTTGGATTTATTCATGATCATGCAAAAATTTCTGGGCCCTCAGCATATATACAGGGAGGCAAAACTGTCTTTCAAAGAAGCCTCCTGACTTAGCCCCGCTGTGAAGGTGGAGATGCAGTGGGAGGGCCCAGTCTATACTTAGATAGAAAGTTCTGAGGATAGAGACAACCAGCTCTGGGACTGAATGATGTCATAGTTCACAAGCCCTTGTCTTGGATTTGGAGACTTCTGCATGCCTATGGGGAGTGATTAACTTTGTAAACAGTGGAGACCCTGAGGTCGGAGCAGGAAGGAAGGAGGTTAGGGAGCAGAGGCCAGTGGGGCCCCCGACTCATCCCTTTTGTTACTTGCCTCCCCTTGGGGCTTTCTCAAGGCCCCACTGCCACCCAACACCATGCTGATGCCCTTGAATGTTCAACTGGGGAAACAACCTTTTAGTAGATTTCTCTGAGTATTTAAGAGAAGCAGAGGGAAATTGTGTCAGAGTATACATTCAGGAGCTCTGGTAGCGTCGTGGTTACGAATCGGGCTGTTAACCTCAAGGTCAGCAGTTCGAAACTACCAGCTGTTCCACAGGAGAAAGATGAGGCTTTCTGCTCCCGTAAAGATTTACAGCCTCGGAAACCCTGTACAGGGTCGCTATGGGTCGGAACCAACTTGACAGCACATAACAACAACAACAATATACATTCAGAAGCGCTTGTCAGAATGGTGGTGATGGTGGTGTGCCTTGGAGTCGGTTCCCACTCAGCGACCCCACACAGGGTTTCCGAGGCTCTAAATCTTAATGGAGCTGAGAGCCTCATCTTTCTCCTGTGGAACAGCTGGTGTTTTTTAACTGCTGACCTTGATATTATCACACCGACTCATAACCATTACGCTACCAGAGGCTCCTTCTTGTCAGAGTGTGAGTAACCAAAGAAGAAAATTCTGGCCTAGCAAAACCCAAACCCAAAGCTACTGCCATCGAGTTGCTTAGAACTCATGGTGGGTTTCCAGGACTTAAATCCTTATGGGAATAGAGAGCCTTATCTTTCTGCTGTGGAGTGGTCAGCACCACCAGCCAAAAGAAGTAGGACAGAACATTCCTAGACTTTCAAATACACACACATCTAACATTTTTTCCTCTCTCTGCCCTCCTCTTTTTGCTCAGAACTGTTAAAATGTCTCAACCCCTTTGTCTGGCTTTCTTCCCTCCATAAATGCCTGTCTCAGGGCCAGATGACTTCCGCCACCATTTTGGTTTCTTGGCCCCTGAGCTCCAGTCTATAATGGATGGTTCCAGATAAACACAAAAGACCCTTTCTTAAGTAGAGCTCACCCTCCTTCCTGGTTTGGATCTCTCAAACCCTCAGGGCTCATGCATTTCCAATTCAAGGAGCTCTTCTCAGCCCCTTTGTGGTTGGCAGAGCTCTGGTGTCTGACAGAGCAGGGACCTAACCCTTTCTGTCTCAGGTTATCATTGCCTGAAATATTTTGTGACTCACTGAGATAAGTCCCCTCCACCCTTTCCTCCTCAACACCGGGAGGTGAGGAATGGGAGGCAGGATCCCTCACAATTAGATATTTACTCCATTTACCTTTTGGTTCATGTCTTTCTTAATTCTATACGCACTAATGAAAAAGAGGGAAAATATCTTTGTCGTTGCTAGCGTGGGAGGCTTTTTTTTTTTTTTCTTCTTCTTCTTCTTTAAGGATAAAATGGTAAGGTCATTTCCTTTCATCTAAATAAAAGACCTAGAATTAAAAAGCCAATTGCCTCTCAAGAGTGTTTCTGTGCTGATGGTAACCAACCCATAAATCCTTCTCATTGGCAGAGTCCACTGCCCTGCACACTGCCAAGACCAGCCATCGTACTGGGCTCCTGTGTTCGGAACCAACATCTATGCAGATGTGAGTATGTTGACATTTTGAATGACCCCATCTCAGGGCCTGTTAAGACCTCAGAAACCACATTTCAAGGTCTGGATACCAGAAACTTGATGTGTTCATTTCTTGAGGCTGCAAACCAGGTGAATTCTGTTGAAAACAACAGAAATTTATCCTCCTGCTGTCTGAGAGACTAGAAGGCCTCTAAAGGCCCTGGAAAAGAATCCTTCCTTGTCTCTTCTTGATTTCTGGTAGTTGCCAGCTATCCTTGGCACAACTTGATTTGTGGCTGTATCTCCCCAACCTCTGCCTCCACGATCACATGGCCACCTTCTCTGTGTCTCCATGAGCCTTTGCCAGTACAACCTCACCTGGCCACGTTGCATTTGCAAAGACCCTGTTTCCAAAAGAGGTCACAGTCTGAGGTTCCAGGTAGATGTGGAGTTTAGGAGGACACGATTGACCCCAGTACAGCTGAGCCCTCATTCCAACGTTTCTAGCTAAGTGTGGGTTCCTCGTTTCTGCCATCAGTGCCCTTGTGAACCCATTTGTAGAAATACTTGTACTCCCATCCACCTGTGCTTAATGCAGGTGCGTACACAACTCATCTTACCCAACCATTTTCAGAGGTTTATAGTGTTTGCAAATCAGTCATTTCCATAGTATTGAATTCTGCTTCCTTGTTGATATTTATGGATAATTTTGACATTTATTGATAATACTTCATTCTCTCGGACATTTAATAATCTCCCCACCTCTCCTGATGCAAACATACTGCTCCAGTCTGCCAACTGCCTTCACTGGGTCATCTATACACGTAGCCAACGGCACAGAGACTAAAGAGCAGATGATCCCGGATTCTGTGTCCATCAACAACCCCTCGTATTTCCTGGCATTGGTTCTGCCGTTTTTTCTTCCCAACTTTAGCAGGGAAGTTTTGGTCTGACTCTTTTCTCAAGTGGACCCTCCAAGACCTGGTCCTTCCCCTCCAGGTGCCTAGAGTCTTGGATCCTGGTGACTCTGGAGATGAGTGTTACCACAGCTCTGCCCCCGTCAGGCCTTCACCTCTCTCTCTGTAGAATGGTGGAGAGCTGGATGATATAGTCAGGGAAACTTCTAGATCAGCATCAATCATCCACAGCTGACATTTTACCCAGCTTTTACTCATCTTCTCTCGTATGGCTCTCACCCACCCACTGCCACCACCTTTGGCCCTATCTCCTTGCATTTTTTCCCATGTTTCCTATAAACACAGTCCACAGAGTCTCTGAGTTGTGTAGTTTCAAAGCAACCGGTGTCGTTAGCTCCCCTCTGCCCCCTCCCACACACATAGCTTTTGCTTTCCATTTTTAATGAGTTATTCAGTCTCCTTGAAAGCTGTTGAGTCAAAATTGAATTATCAATGTTTACGGAGGAGGAAAATAGTATCTATGAATTGTTACGCTACATGTTTGAACCATATCCTGCTATTAAAGGACAGAGGAAAATAAAGAGATGGGCAAAGCAAGTCCAGCCAAATATGAGCACAAACAGTGAAGAGCTGGCATGCTAATGTTATTATCTGATCAAGTAGAAGTTAAAGTTACTCAGTGAGAAAGATCCCTTCATTATGCAATGGCATAAAACGGGAAATATATATGTATATACTATTAATCCCAAACATACCAAACAGTGTAGCAACTAAATACATAAAGCAAAAAAAAAAAAAAAAAAGTTAAAACAACATGCTGAAAAGTCACAATAGAAAGCTACCACTGATTCAACACCTGCTCTGGTCTAGGTTCTTTAAAAGCACCATCTCTAGGCACCAGTGTCCCATTTTACAGAGCAGGAAACTGAGGCTCAGAGTAACCTGCCCCAAATCTCATGCTAGTTTGTGGCAGAGGTGAGGGTCAGTGAAGATTCAGCCTGACTTGGGCTCTGGGAGGGGGAGGGGCTGGGGAGACGAGAGGTGAGGTTAGCACGCACCTGCACAGTGTCACACTGATGTGGACCCGTGGATGGTGAACACCTGTGTGCAGTCTGCACCTGACTCACTCACTCGGGTTTGAGCTTCGGAAGCCACGGGGCTCGGGACACAGCTCGGGCGCAGTCATCGTCCACTCAGTGTGTGCTGAGGTAACAGTGAAGCCACTACAGAGCGTAGTTAGTGCCTGAGCAACTCCTCCGAAGAGAAGCTAGTGGGGGAGAGGAGGAAAGAGGGCGTAATAAAGGAGAGTAAGAAAGAAAAAGAGAAGGAGAGAAAAAATAAGAACAAGAGAGAAAGGGCGAGCGAGAAGAGGTGAGGAGGCGGCTCTCGGCCTCAGAGCCCCTTCTCTGGTCCTGGTTTCTGGGTCACTCTGTACTCTGGGCGATGGTGAGGCTCCTGGAAAATGTCTGTTTAGCTGAGTTATTTTGGGAAAGTCGGCTCCAGACTCTGAAGGGTCTAATAGTGCCCGCAGTTCTGCCTGTTCCCCTGGAGTCCATGGCTTGGCACACCCTCATTTTGGAGAGAGAAAGCAGGGACCCTGCTTGTCAGCCACAGGCAGGAGGAGCATTGGGGTGAAGCATCGGGGTGTGGCTGAAGGACAAAGCCTGGACCACAAGTCCTGGTCTCCACCCCAGCCATGCTGCCCAGCAGTTAGGGGATGTCCGACACACCTTTCTCCATCTCCAGCTCACCTCTCCTATCTACCCTGTTTCTCTCTGCCTCTCTCACGCAGCTGGATGAGTTCTCATACAGTGGAGGCTCTTCACACAGATATCCATTCTGCCTCCCCCCTCACCCCCCCACACCCCCAGCCCCACATCCACTCCAGTGTCTGTGATTCAGCAGATCTGGGATGGGGTCTGAGAGAGTGTGTTTCTCACAAGCTCTCGGGAGATGGAGGTGTGACTGGTCCTGGACCCTGCTTTGAGGACCCCTGGGCTTGAGATAAAAGACCCTGGGAAATTGTTGGCAGTGAGGGTCATGGTGTTGCCTTACCAGCTAGCATTACTGAGTAATTACTGTGCATCAGTCCGCACTAAGCCCTGTTTAGTCTCTCTGTGGACCCTTGCAGGGCTTCATTCTTATTACCCAGTACAAAGGGGTGTACAGATTGCAGACTCTAGAGCAGGTGGTCCTGTCATCTTCAGGCACTCGTCAGTTAGACAACCTGAGCCTCAGTTTGCTCATCTGTTGTTGTTAAGTGCCGTTGAGTCCGTTCCGACCCATAGTGACCCTGTACAGGGTTTCCAAGGGTGTAAATCTTTACGGGAGTAGAAAGCCTCATCTTTCTCCCGCGGAGCGGCTGGTAGTTTCGAACCGTTGACCTTAAGGTTCGCAGCCCGATTCATAACCACTATGCTACCAGAGCTCTTTTGTTAGAAGGGAATAATACTTGTCTTCTTAACTTTCTGGGGTATTACCATGTCAGTGGGACAAATGGTTAAGCACTGGCCTGCCAATCAAGAGGCTGGAGATTCAAGTCCACTCAGAGGAGCCTTGGAAGAAAGGCCTGGTCATTGACTTCTGAAAAGTCGGTCACTGAGAACTGTGAAGGACAGTTATGCTCTGTGGCATCACTGAGGCCAGATCCTGGCCCCCCCCCCCCCCCCCATTGCTCTTGTTGACATCGGGTGTTAGTAAACCCCACAGGAAGTGTGGCAGGAAGAGAGGTGTGGGCAGAAGGAAGAGGGAAAGAGGAAGACACTGACTTGTACCGGGTGTGTGGTGCACACTGACAACCGGCTACAGTGGGGTTCTCAGACTCACAGCCCACAGCCCAAGGTTATCATGGGTACCCCTGCTTCACTGGTGTCCAGGGACCCCTCAGGGGGAGGGGAGGACTGTCATAGAGGCACAAGACCATACACTCCTCCATCAGCCCCATCTTCGTGCCTCTTTACAGCATTCCCCGCGCTTTGCAGTCTGGGAGGCTTCCCTCTCGGACGCAAAGCCACTGCTCCTTAACCTTCTGGGAACACAAACCCCCTTGAGAGTTGGAAAGGCATGATGTTGCTCCAAAAAGAGATCTCATGGTGACCAGGGACTGAGGGCGTCCCCATCAAGGCTTCCAGGACTAAGATCAGGAAAGTCCACACAGAACCGGAACACACATACACAGTTCCCCCCGCAGCCCCGGGCCAAGGACCCCTCCTTCATATGCTGGCTAGTGAGGACGCCTGGTGGAGCGTGTGGTGTGTCCATGCGTCAGGGAAGCAGGCCCCTGCAATTCCACTTCCTGTCAAATTTCAGTTGCTATCAGGTCACGAACTCGGACTCATGGTACAAGCAATCTTCAAAAAGTTCTTCTATCAACTTTTAATTCCATTTCTCCACAAACTCTTTGCAGCCCCTTTTTATGTCACAGCAGGTTTTTCAGCGACCTAATTTTCTTGAGGGTGGTGGGGAGGGGATTCTATTTCCAGGCCTTTCTCCCAAGGCTTCTCTGAGTGGACTCAAGCTTTAGCAGCCAAGAGCATTAACCATTTGCAGTGCCCAGAGGTTCCCATCAAACTTGGTCTAAGTCAGGATGGCTGCAGTCTCGGTCCCCATCTTCCTATGGTCTTCCGCCCTGTGTCTCTGTCTCAAGCCTCCCTTCTCTTCTCTCTGAGAAGAGCCCCACTTCGGGGACTTAGCCCCTGATTCCGATTATCTAGTTTATATCCTAACCTTAGTCACATCTGCAAATCCAAATCCAGTCACAGCTGTAGGCATCAGGGTTGAGGACACAATGCAGTCCACCCCAGGGGCTGGCATGGGCCACACCGTCCACCCAGGCGACACTGATCACAGCTCCTCCTGTCCTCAGACCTCCAGCATCTGCCGGACAGCAGTACATGCAGGCGTCATCAGGAACGACAGCGGGGGCTATGTGGATCTGATGCCCATCGACAAGAAGAAGAGCTATGTGGGTTCGCTCAAGAACGGAGTTCAGTCAGAAAGGTAGGGCGGGGTCTGGCTCTGGACGCTCACAGCAGCGGCTGTTGGCCACTCAGGAGACCTAGTGTCTGTGCAGTAGAACTGGGTTGAATCACATTGGTCCTTTCCAGGACACTCAGGGCAAGCCTGCTGTTTTCTCTACTCTGACATTTTTCCTTCAAAATGGGAACATTTTCCTTTTCTGTGACACATGCATGTTTCTTGTACAAAACTGAGAAGCGGCATCCAAGCACAAACAAAAGTTATCATCCATAACCTTGCTCAAGAGAAATGCTCTCAAAGTTTAGGTGTGAATTCTTCCGGTCCTCTGTGTGTGTGTGTGTGTGTGTGTGTGTGTGCACGTGCGCACGCACTTAAAAAAATTTTTTTTTACAAAAACAGAGGATCAAATTATAGTGACTACAGAAATAAAAGCGGAGTCAGGAGACCTGGACCGTGCTCCTTACAAGTTTTGGGGCAAGTTATCACATGGCTCCAAGCCTCAGTGTTCTCATCTGTGGTATGGGTATACTAACCACCCCTACTTGGTAGGATTATTGGGTGGGTTCACTGAGATTTTGCATCTCCTGGTGACTAACAGAGGTGAATACCAGAAAGAAACACAGCCAGAGCACTCCATAGAAACAAGGATGGCGACACTTCATCTCACATACTGGGGTCATGTCATCAGGAGGGACCAGTCCCTGGAGGTCAAAGTGGAGGGTCAACAAGGAAAGGAAGACCCCCCTGCTCCCCTAATGAGGTGGACTGGCACAGTGGCTACAGTGGTCTCAGACACGGTGACAATTGTGAGGATGTGCAGGTGGGGCAGGCTCAGGCAGAGCTGTGTTCTGCTGTGCACAGGGTTGCTGTGAGCTGAAACTGATTCAGCACTAACTCGTGATAACAAATGAGGACTATGTTCATTACTCAATGTGTTTACTTACAGATCTCAGAGATTCCCCCTTTGCTCTCACAACTGACTTCCATTCTTAGTGCATGGAATTGCATCGAATAAAGGCAGGGCTCTTCACAGAATGCTGGCCCATTGGGTAGAGTAGTCATCGAGATGATAGTCTTGTAGGTGAATGTCTGTTCACACCTACGGCTGTTTGCTTACATCCCAGGAATGATATTTCTGCATGGAGGTCTGGGTCAACTTCTAGGGCTTTGAGGATGCCTTTCCAGAATGTTCTTCAGAAAGCTCCCAGCCCTGCTTCAGGCTGCCATCCAATCTTGGCACAGATTCTCACAGATATCACTGTGGGTCTGTGGTCAAACAAGGCACCACTTTCCCAAGTCTCAGTTCCTTTATCTGTACAATGGGTGTGGTTATCACCCCAGGCCTGGTCAGGCCTAGGTCTGGGAGGGCCTGAAGAGTTTTTGACTTTAGTGATCCTTTTTAGAAAACCAAAACCCACTGCCATCGAGCTGATTCCAACTCACAGCGACCCTGGGTAGGGGTTCCGAGGCTCTAAATCTTTACGAGAGTTGGAAGTTTCATCCTTCTCCCTTGGAGCAGCTGGTGGGTTTGAACTGAAGACTTGCAGTTAGCGGTCCAGCGCTTCGTCTACAGCACCACTAGGGCTCCTCTTTAGAAACAAAAGTGAAAAGAGCACACTTGTTCATGTTGTTCGAGGCTCCTGAAGACGCAGCCTGAATGGCTTTGTGGGGACACCCCTGGTCCTGCCTTCCCAGCCCCTGGGGCCAATTCTGTGTGTCTGCAGAACTCTTGGCTTGAAGATGCTGCAGAGGCAAATGCACAAACTGCATTTATTGCTTCCCGGGGCTTCCTGCCCAACAGCTCTGTACCAGCCTCCAACAGCTTGAGCAAAAGCTTGTGTACTTTTCTCTCCAGTGCTTGCAACCTTTGTTTGGGAAAAGATTAATGAAGGGAAATTCCATTGATTTAAAGGGAGGGAAGCGAAGCAGCTGATTTGGTGGAATTTCCTGGCCAGGCTGGAAAGAAATCCCTAGATGCCCATTTGGGGAGCTCTCTCTACCCCTTGTGAGAGAAAAGCCAGCTTCCTGAGAAGGGTTGGGCTGGCCTTTGTTCTCCTGGCCATGTTATCCTGGAGAACATCACCATGGCCTCCCTGAGGGCCGAAGGACAGTGACCTCACTGTGCGGGGCCTCGGGTGGCTGCTGGGAGGACCAGGATCCCAAGGGATCCCCCGCAACCTAGGCTATTTCTTTCCAACTCTCAGCCCACCCAAGACCTGTCCTTCATTCCCTGTCTTTCTGTGGTACCCAGGTCACCTGTGTGATGACCCTGTCTCCAGACAGCTCCCCTTAGGGCAAACCCAGGTGCCTCGGAGTGAAGCTGCTCCTCAGGCTTGTTGATGACGGATTTTCCCGAAGTAGATCGACAGCCAGGCCTTTCTTCCAAGGCTCCTTTGGGTGGACCCCCAGTTGCCATCTTGTGGGTTAGCAGCTGAGCACACCCACCATGTGCAGGTCACCCAGGCGTTCCCTGTCCCTGAGGTTGGTTGTGTCACTGAGAAAAGATCTCTGTGATTCTTTACAGCACCCCGCCCCTTCAAGACTCGGCTTCCCTTCCTTCTCCGGCTCACTCTTCCTGGGTTTGGGGTGTGGGCTCCATGATGGAACTGAGACAGGGAGTCACCCTTTCTGTGCCTCAGTGCCCTCATCAGGAAGAGAGAAAAGACACGGGCTGTCGTACAGGGTGGTAGCAGGGCAGTGCTTCTCAAAGTGGGGGCCCTGGATCAGCAATGCTGATTCTCAGGCCCCACCCCAGACCTACAGAACCAGGCATTCTGGGGCTGGGTCCAGCCATCTGGGTTTCATACGACCTCCAGTGGTCCTGACTGAGAGCTGCTCTTTTAAGGGCGTTGTAAGGATAACCGCAGTGCTACGCATGCCTGATGCTTAGTTACTCAGAGCCATGTGTTTGCCAGCTGTTTGTTAGGCATCTGTGGTGTCCCAGGACCTGCGGGTGCAGAGAGGCCAAGTCCAAAGAACAGAGGTCAAGTCCTTTGTATGCATAAGGGGGGAAGACAACACAGAACCTGGTGGCACTTGGGACCCTGTTCTGTGGTTTGTCAGATAGGTGACCTTGGGCCAGCAAAGTCTCCTTGAGACCCATTGTAAAATGGGTTGCTGTGGGCCTGGACTGAGGTGGCTCTTGGTAAGCATCTGATAAAGTGTTGGGGCCTTTGGCCCATAATTTGTGAGATCTGCTATCACCTTCAGAAAGCTGTGCTTTTCACAGAGGACCACATGCATGGAGCATAATAAATTACCTAAATGGATTCACTTTTGGGATGAGAGAAAATGTGCCTTATAGGAATTTATTCTTTCATCTTTGCACTCATCCTCTAACCCTCACTCATCCATCCATCCACCCATTCATCTTCCAACTGTCTGTCCATACCATCTATCTGTCCATCATCCATCTACTCATCATCCATTTATCCATGCATCCACCCAGCCGTCCATCCATTTCCATCCATCATCTGTCCATCCAGCCTCCAGCCTGTACTCACTCATCCATCTATCCACATCCATCCATCTATCTACATCCATCCATCCATCCATCCATCCAACCATCCATCCATCTATCTCTATCCATCCATCATTCATCCACCTATTTATTTCTATCCATCCATCATCCATATTCTATCCATTTGTACATCCATGTCCATTTATCTATCCATCTCCATCCATCCATCCATCCATCCATGGATCCATGCATCTATCATCAAACCCACTCTCATCTATCCATCCATCCATGTCCATCCATGTATCCATGTCCATCCATGTCCATCAATGTCCATCCATGTGACCTCTGTGGCATGCCAGGCACCAGATGCAGCAGAAATCCAACATCTAGACTCTGTCTTCATGGGGCTTGCCAGCCAGTGGGGACAGACAGTAATGACAGCAGGACACAGGACACTAAGAGCATATCCAGCAGGGCACCACCTCCCTGGACAGAAGAGACTCCAATAGAGCAGTCAGGAGGGAGGCCTTGGACATGGCCAAAGGCTTTGACACATCTCCCTCTCTGCTGAGAAAGTTCCCTGGAATCTGTCCCCATTAGGAGACTGTGGGAACATGGCTCTGGTGTCAGAAGGTGGCTCTGTTCCAAATGACTCCTGGGGCCCTGATTGGACACTGACTTCCCCAACGGGAGATGTGGGCATTTGGCTCACTGTGACTGGTTCCCTGAAAACTGGGTTTTAATTTTAGGGACTCCTTCAAACTGGGTTTTAATTTAAAAGTCCTCCTGGGCAGAGTTCTCTGGCATATAATGCCAAAGGTTGGTCCTGCTTTCACAGTGGCTTCAGTTTAGGGTTTCCTGAAAGTGCTGGAAGGTTGCCATGCAGAATTGGGACAACAGACAAGGGTGGGCTCCTTCTCTCATCTTTCTACCTGAGGGAGAGCCCTCGGGGGACTGGAGTCCCTCAAAACATTCTCAGGAAGTAGCTGAACAGCTGACTGAGCATCAGGTCATATGGTTTCTAAGACCAGACCCATTTTTAAAGACAGATTTTATAAGCAGGTTGGGAACTACACCAATCGTGATAGAACATCCTTGGTTACTTGGGTTTAAAAATATGCCTCTATATGGAATTCTATGCGGGCAGACTTTTGTCTGAATAGTGAACTCAGTAAACTAACATTTATGTGGCATCTCCTGTGTGCCAGCACTGAGCTCCCGCCCAGTGCCACGGTGCAGGACCGTGGTGAGGTGAGTCCCGTCGGCACACTGTGCTGACCTAGAGGGCAACTGGGGCAAATTGCATCATCCCATCCACCTTGGTTCCTCAGCTGTACAAGCTACACAAACTCAGGCCCCACTGTAGGGTAGTGAGTGAGTGCTGGCAGGATTGCTATGCCTGGACAGGTTGAGCACCATCGGAAGGGTGGACCTGATGGACCAGGGCTGGCATGGGCACTCCGCCTGAGTAATGGAAATGGTCATTTCCCAGATCACCTTCCTCAGCTCACACAGATGAGTGTTGGGACTGAGCCAGCTGAAGGGGGCGGGGACTCCCACG